GACTAGAGTATTTGAGAAACAGAGAGCAATCAGATCGAAAGGGGCTAGAATATTCGCGAAACAAAGAGGAAACCACCCGAAAGCGACTGCAGTATTCGCAACACAGGGAGGAAACCGCTTGATATGGAATGTTCCGTGCTTCTCAAAAAAAAGGTTTGCTCACTGTTGCTCCAACACACTGGTGTTTTGGGAGCGGTTTGCTCCCTGCTCCCTGGTTTCTTAAAAGTCTAGTCCTTTTCGAGCGGTTTGCTCCTTGCTTCTCAACTACTCTAATCTTGTTTAAGCGGTGCGTGCTTTGATTTTCAAACACTCTGACCCCTTTCGAGCGGCTTGCCTCCTGTTTCTCAAATACTCTGCATTGCTCCCTGTCTCTCAAATACTCTACTCTCTTTCGAACGGTTTGCTCCGTGTTTCTAAAAGTCTCAAGTCCCTTCCGAGTGGCTTGCTCCCTGCTGCTCAAAGACTCTAGTCCCTTTCGAGCGGTTTGCTCTCTGTTTCTCGAATACTCTGGTCCCTTTCGAACTGTTTGCTCCTTTGTTTCTCAAGCACCTTTGTCTTTTGCGAGCGGTTTGCTCCCTGTTTCTGAAATACTCTAGGCCCTCTCAGACGGTCTGCAATTTGCTACTGAAATACTCTAGTCCTGTTTGAGCGGTTTGCGGCTTGTTTCTCAAATCCTCTACTCTACTCTTTTTCGAGCGGTTTGCCCCCCGTTTCTTAAATTCCCTAGTCCCTTTCGAGCGGTCTGCTCCTGTTTTCTCAACAACTCTAATCCATTTCGCGTGGTTTGTTTCCTTCCTCAAAAAGTTTCGTCCCTTTTGCACAGTCTGCTCCTGGATTCTCAAACACTCGAGTCCCTTTCAGGCGGTTTGCTTTCTGATTCTCAAATACTCTAGTCCCCTTCGAACTGTTAGCTCCTTGCTTCTCAGACACTTTTGTCTTTTGCGAGCGGTTTGCTCCCTGTTTCTCGAATGCTCTAGGCCCTCTGGAACGGTCTGCCGCCGGTTTCTCAAATACTCACTTCGAGCGCGTTTCCCTTTGTTTTCTCAGTCCCTTTCAGGCGGATTGCTTGCTGTCTCTCAAAAACTCTAGTCCCTTTCGAGCGGTATGCTAATTGTTGCATTCCAGCGGTTGCTCCTAGTTTCTGAATCACTCGATTCCTTTTTAGAGGCCCTTCAAAGACTCTAATCCATTTTTTGCGGTTTGCGCTTGCTTCTCAAGTACTCCAATCCTTTTCAAGCGGTTTGCCCTAGTTTCTCAACATTCTAATCCCTTTGAAGCGGTTAATTCATTGTTTCTCAAACACTCTAATCCCTTTGGCACGGGTTGCCCCTTGTTTCTCAAATTCTCTAGTCAGACTCTAGTCCCTTTCGAGCGGTGTCCTTTATTCAAATACTCTAGTGCCTTTCGAGTGGTTTGCTCCCTGTCTCTCAAAAGCTTTCGTCCCTTTCGGGCATTTTGATCCATCGTTCTCAAATACCCTAGTCCCTTTCGAGCGGTTTGCTCCTTGTATCCCAAATACCCTAGTCCCTTTCTAGCGGCTTGCTCCTGGCTTCTGAAACATGTTCGTCTTTTGCGTCTTTTTGGAGCCCTCTACCCTGTTCCCAAAAATTCTCTGTCCCTTTCGAAAAGTCTGCCCGTTGTTGAAACACTCGAGTCCCTTTCGGGCGGCTTGCTCCCTGCTTCTCAAATACTCTAGTCCCTTTCGAGTGCTTTGCCCCTTGGTTCTCCAATACTATGTCAATTTCGAGCGGTTCACTCCCTGTTTCTCAAGTGCTCTTCTCTGGTCCCTTTCGAGCGGCTGTCTCCTTGTTTCTCAAACACGCTGCTCTGGTGTCTTTCGAGCAGTTTTCGCCTTGTTTCTCACTCTAGTCCCTTTCGATCGCTTTGCTGCCTGTTTCTCCAAAAGTCTAGTTTCGTTCAAGCTTCTTGTTCCCTGATATTCAATCGCTGTTGTCCTTTCCGAGCGGTTTGCTCCCTGTTTCTCAAATACCGCAGTCCTTGGAGCGGTTTGCTGTCTGTTTCTCACATTCTCTACTCCCTTTTGAGCGGTGTGCTTGTTGTTTCTCAAACACTCTAGTTCCTTTGGAGCGGTTTGTTCCATTTTTCTCAAACACTTTAGTCTCTAGCAGTGCGTTCCCTGTTTCTTAAATACTCTAGTACCTTTGGAGGGGTTTGCACGTTGTTTCTCAAATGCCCTAATCCGTTTCGAACGGCTTGTTTCCTGAATTGCAACACTTGAGTGGTTTGCTTCCTGTCTCTTAAATACTCCACTCTTTTCCGAACGCTTTGTGTATTGTTTTTTACTCAATTAACCCACTCCGTTTCGAGCGGTCTGCTTCCTGTTTTTCAGACATCCTAGTCCCTTTGAAGCAGTTCGCTCCTTGTTGTCAAAGGCTCTGGTCCCTTTCGAGCGATTCGCATCCTGTTTCTCAAATAATCTAGTTCCTTTCGAGCGGTTTGCTCACTGTTTTTCAAAAAACCTAGTCTTTCTAGCGGTGTGCTCATGGCTTCTCGAATTCTCTTGTCTACGTAGTCCATTCCGAGCGGTTTGCCCCCTGTTTGCCTGCAAATCATATTATCTGGTCCCTGTTGTGCTGCTTGCTTTCTGTTTCTCAAGTACCGTAATCTCTTTTTGGGGCGGTTTGCCCTTTGTTTCTCAAATTCTCTAGTCCCTTTCGGCGGTTTGCTTTCTGTTATTCAATTGCTCTACTGCATTTCGAGTGGTTTTATCCTTGTGCCTCAAGTTACTGCAGTCCCTTGCAGGCGGTTTGGTCCCTGTTTCTCAAATATTCCAGTCTTTTTCAAGCGGGTGGCTCTGTTTCTCAATAAATAGTCAGTCCCTTTGGAGCGGTTTGCTACCTAATATGCTAGTCTCTTTCGAAGGGTTTGCTCAGTGTTCTCAAATACTCCAACCCCTTTCGAGCGGTTTGCTCCCTGTTTCATATTTCTTTATAGTCCCTGTCGAGCGGTTTGCTCCTTGCCTCCCAAATTGTCTAAGAGTCCATTTCGAACGTTTCGCTCCATGAGCATGGCCATAATCACAGTCGTCTGGAGTCTGGATCTAAGCGTATGGCATGCAGTGCCTAGACGTGTGCAGATTGGTACTTGTTAACTTATAACCACTAGATACAAGGCGCGAAAACCAAAAGCAGCCCGAAAACAAAACGCTGAACGGACCTGAAGAAAAGGCTGCCATGGCTGCGCCTCGCTTCGTGACCTCGCGGCCTTGACCTCGGCCTCGCCTCGCAACCTTGCGGCCTCGTGTCCTGACCTCGCGGCCTAGTGAGCCTAACCTCGCTTTCAGCGCGCAGCTTCGCTCACCTCGCACACTCCTCGCGACCTCACGGCCTCCCTCGTATCCCTCGCGCCGTCACCTCGACAACCTTCTCGCGACCTTGCGCCCTCACCTGGTCGCGTCCTCACCTTGCGGCCTCGCAGCCTCGCGCCCCGTCCTTGCGGCCCTCGCTCATTGTCAGGTCTGTTCTGCAAACAACAGCCTCAAAGCTCTGTCAAAACTGGCAGTTCGAGCTTGGAAACCTTGCAGCCGGCCCTGCGGTGGGAAGGCGCACGTGCTGTGTCACTTCGATCTCTGCTGAACTGCCTTGTCTCGACAAGCAAGCAATGCTAACGGGTAGACCAAAAAAACTAAATCACGCTAGCTCGTCAAATGCTGTGCACTTTCAGCAGCAGACCAGATCAGGAACATACATAGACTCAGACTACAAGAAATCAGCTTAATTCTGTCGTTCGTCACAGGCGCTGATTTGTACATGCCGCCGCAGCAACTCCTTCCCGAAAGCTCCTGATGCTTGACTGAAGCAAATCAAGACAGGTATCCGAGGCAGACCTCACACCTATGTTTTTTGCTGGAGTAATATCCTGAACAGGTATTGAGTGCTTGGATCAAGAAGTAGTAGATGGCATATCCAAAGACCATGTGGCGGCTACCTCGGCATGAGGCTACATCAATGCAACCTGCCACCTGCTTCGGTCCATCAGGTGATTCTGGGCTGCAGTCAAGTTGCAGAAGGCCTGGAACCAGGCGCATCGCCCGGCTAGTGCGTCAACACGCTGGATGCATTGAAATGAAGTGGCACCCGAATTGAGCAAGTCGCAGAGCAAGTCGTAGTAGTTGGAGCAGTGATTCACGTGCCGGAAGTGAGAGTATGGGTGTGGTGTCAAACCGTACAATTCACCGGCACTACAAAATGCACTCGGTAAGACCCGAAGGACTCCCCTCATGGGAACACTAAACATGACATGGCGGTGTGACGCGACACATGGGTGCGAATGGGTGCACCATCCAGTAGTAGTCTTTTGTTCATACGTCGTTGACCTTAGGAGATTACTCAACCTTCTTGGAAAACAAGACCGCCCACAAGACAGGCCTCACAGTCACGTTTCGTGGCCACAGAGAGCGTCCCCAAGTACACTGTGTAGTCGTCGGCCCTGCCCGGCAAGATGCGCCCTTCGATACGACTCAAAGACTGGCTTTTCTATACCATACACAGATATATCTACATATATATATATATGTGTGTGTGTGTATGTATGTATATATATATATACATATATATATATGCAGGAAATACTTACAACTAAATATATAAATGGATAAATAAACAAATTTGTGTGTATATATATATATATGAATATGTGTTTATATTTATGTGTGTGTATGCATACATGGTCACGCGCTCCACGGCGCCCCTCCCCCCCCTGCCCCCACCCCTGGTCCAGGATGCCCCCCCTCCCCCGTGGGGTGGGGTGTCCCTCTTCCTCCTGCGGGGTGGTTGTGGGTTTTTTCCCACCCGCCCTGCTGACAATGTCGCACTGGAGGGAGTTCGTCAGAGGTTTGGACAGTCAGGGGAAGAACCAAGGCGAACTGCATGGGGTTTTGGGGGGGTTTAGGGTTTGGCTCAAGCTATTTCAGGTATAAGGGATCGAGTCGACTTGGGGTGTAGGTTCGTGAGGGTTGACGAAATATGTTCTGCTTTAGGCTTAGAGCCTACGTTTAGGCGGGGTTTAGGGTTGCATGTAGGGTTCAACGTACAGGTTAAGGCTAATCAAAACAGGAGCACACGCTACATTATGGGGTTATGGCTTGCATAGGACGTGCGTAAGATCCCGACCCGGGCCACCCTCCAGCAGCACCCCTCTCCGCACACGCCAGGCCCCCCGGCCATACTATTGGGAAGGCGGTTGGGGGAGGGGGGGGGGGGAGAGCCAGATGGCTGACCATATGCGTGTAGTAAACATTGTTATCGTATTATGTATATATATATATATATGATGGTGTAGTTGTTTTGTTTTTTCATGTCTTTATCTGTTTCTATTCCTTTGCCAATTTGTTTATATGTACATGTATACATATATACAAACGTCGAAGGGTGTGTGTATGTGTATAAATATATATATATGTGTGTGTGTGTGAAGATATTCCCCACACAAGTACATCCGCAAGCACGACAATAATGAAACAGATAGATAATAATATACTATGTTCATATGCACAGTTGTACATATTTATGTATATATATATATTGCATAGTCACGGACAGAAAGCTACAACCATGTTGAGCTGTGTGGCTCTGTGTGTCGTTTTATGTGGCCGTAAGAAGACATGGCGCAAGTGTTGACTAATCCTGCTTTGGACTGCCGGCCGTCAGCGGCCTCTTCGCTAGTTCCAACAAGGGAAGGGGAAGCCGCGAAAGCATTGCTAGAAGTGTTGCCAAGGCCAAGGCTCACTGCAGCTGCTTTCGGTGCCGCCACACCAACACACCTAGGAAAATGAAGGGGGTTAACCAATCTGACAGTCACGTACTGTTGCGTCTTACTCTTGCAAGACAATGAAAGCACCAGCAACAAGAAAAAAAGCAAGCAGCAACAACAACCACATCCACCAACAACCAAGAACCCCCAACCACGACCACGATCAGTACCACCACCGCCACCACCGCCACCACCACCACCACCACCAGCACCACAAAACATTAACATGGGCACACACACACATCAGAATGTAGATGAAGAAGATGGCAAGAAAACGGAGTTGGCAAGAGTAAACTACTCGTGCAGCAGTGAACACCGAAGGCGGCAGCAACAAGAGCTCGTACTATATCAGATAAGCAGAATAAGAACAAGAACAATAAGAGGCAATGGCAATAGCAAAGCAAAAACACCACAATGACCAAAACTCATGGCCAAGAGTGGCAAGAAGGAGGGTGCGAAACCAGCACTGCAGGTAGCAGGTTTGGAAAGGCGAAAACTCATCAGCGACCTGAAGATCGGGGACCCGGGCGTTGTATGTGCCCTCTACACTGATGAGCACCTCCCATTCCTCATGTGAGCCATTCCTGCAGCGTATGCGTCAAGTCTGGTCTCTTGAAGCAGGTCACAACATTCCCGTCATGCAAGATGCAGAAGATGCACGCGAAAATCTCAGGACTGGGCGCAGAAAGGGCAGACCCCGATCGGAAGTCGATGCCTGCCTTTCGTGATGGAGGACCCGGCATGTGAAAACAGAAGAGGAAGGAGCAACCAAAGTGCTTCCTAACAACAGCGGAAAGGGAAGGCCTGCAGCCTTCGCCTCAAAATGCGGTCGTGCTTTCAACGTTGCAACACCGCGAAGCACACTGAGCTTCAGGCGTCGAAGGAGTTGTCGTGGTGGGCTGTACACAGGTTCAGATCATGTCATGCTACTTGCAACACGCACGGAACAGCCAATCAATATGTTCCCCCAAGTCGGAAGCCAACAGAAAAATCTCCAAGCAAGCCTTCACAAGTTGTTCACCTTTCCTTCCACAGTATGCTACCTTCCCGTCTGGCTTTCCAGCTACTAGTCCCTTCGGAGTATCCTGAACATGCCTTCGACCTGGCTGGGGACTTGGCCATACTCACCACCATGCACCCCACGTTCTGCGGAATGATGCGAATCCTGCAGAAGAGACCATGGATCTCTGAGCATTGGGGCCCGGTGCAGCGACCTGCCTGTCTTCTGTGGCCTGGCATACAATCAGACTGCGAAAAGCAGGTCTGCCCCCCCCCCTGCGATGAGTCAAAGTCATTCAAACTGCAAGCAGGTTGCTAGGCCAATGCCGTTGATGGTGACTGTCCCAGGGACTCCAGGATTGACGACGAACCTCACAGTTTTCGGTAAATTCAGCCCAACCGACTGGGCCTCACGATGTCAGCATGGGAGCGGCTGAAGCACACAGTGGCGTGCGAGGCGACGAGCAACGAGAATTTTCACAGTGTGGCCATGGGCAGGCACCATAACCATAGATCAAACGTCATCTGGCTAGTCAGACAGAAACACAAATCCCTTCCATAGACGCAAGCTCTCGCGCAATGGACACATGTGCTCGCACAATCTCCTTCACACACCCAAAAGTCACACATGCACGCACGCAGCCGCCCTGATGCAGCGAATGGCCTCATGTTGCCGGCATTTTGAGGCCCGCTGACTTGCAAGGTCCCGATGCTGATCCAACCCACGCAGGTACTCGCCTCGGCGGGGCTCACTCTGGACTATATATTATATATTTTATATTACATATTATATAATATATATTATATATTATATACCATATACTATAGAATACATATTATATCGCATACATTATATATTATACATTATATATTATACATTAGATATTACCTTTCATATATTCTATATATCTTTCATATATTCTATATATTATATTATATTATATTATATTATATTATATTATATTATATTATATTATATTATATTATATTATATTATATTATATTATATTATATTATATTATATTATATATATTTATATATACATATAGAATCTCTTCTGGCTGCGCATCCTTGGCAGACTCTCGATGTCTAAGCTCAAGGCATAGTGCCGGTCGCAGTAGCACACGGTGAACCTGTCTGCCTGGTGGGGGTTGCGACATCCCCAGAAGCCAGAACCCCCAAAAAAACCGGTTCTAGCTACTAAGGCCGACTTCCAGGAAAACCCTCAACAACGAAAACTCTCGACCAAGCCTGGAATCCTGCATCCTGACAAACCTAAATCCCAAAACCCCTACGGTTGATGATATAAATCCTGCATTATCTTAAGGACCCTAACCTATAGGAATTATGGTATGTTCCTTAGTATGGGTAATGCAGGATTTATATCATGCAGAGTAGAGGCCTACACCCAGAGTAGCCCTGACAGTAGCCCCTTGCTGCATCCCTTACAGAAACCCTCATAGTAGGCCTTTTCAGCAACAGTTACAACAACCCTCGTCTTCAGGAACCCTTATAGTAGCCCTTCGAACTAGTAACCGCTACGGTAACCCAATGAACAAGTCTTAAAGGAACCCTTTAAGGAACTCCTAGAGGAACCCTGAAACTGTCGGAGGCGAGCCGAGGATCCCGAGTTGGTCAAGCGCTGGATAAAGGACGGGGAAGATTTTGAAGGTTTGGGTTGAGAAGGTTTGAGAAGTCTCACTCAGAGTCTCGAATGCATGCGTAATGTTAAAGCACCAGCGAAGGCAATGCCCGACATTCCTTCCAAAACTAAGCTTCGGGCTCGGGTCACGGCGACACCTGCAGAAGCTCGGGGCCGATGCATCGCATTGACGCTGTAAGCTCTCTCCGTCGGTGCGAGACTTAGTGCTCATTCCTTGGCTTGGGTCAGGCAACACTGACACGACAGCATGTCCATGAGCCTGCCTGTCCAGATCAGCTCTCGTCCAGAACCCCATGAGCCAGAGGACAGGGTCGAAATCGGCGCTGGCTCACACATACCAACCTTGACCGGCAACTTGTCTCCGCCCACGACTCAAGGGTGTCTTGGAGTTGCCGAGAGCCCTGCACCGCTTTCTAGACAGGTGATGCCCATGACCTGAGCTGCGTCCAGGCGCAACATGGCGCTACGGGGAGCCGTGCAGCTCATCAAGCTCCGACGTCCTCCAAAATGCAAACACAATCTTTGTAGCATGCAGAGAAGGTGCCAAGGTATTGAATTAGTCCCCAAGCAGACTGCAGATGTATTGCATGTATGTATCCTGATAGATCCGCACACTGGGCCCGACACAGAGCGGTGGAGCTGTGTCGAGTCACAGGCACCTGCAACATCTGAAGCTGGGACGCGTAGAATGATTTCTCCTCCTTGCTTTCACGTGGCTCTCGTGCGTGATGATCTTCATCCGCGGCCAGGGATCACCTGAAGCTACATTACATGCCATTGCAGCTCGAAGCCAGGTTACGAACGTCGAGACATGCTCAGATCCTGGGGCCGGGGCCAATGTCGAAGTCGCTTGCGAGTGGCACTCTCAATGCAAACGGTGTGGACACAGTGGCAGCCCAGTTCTCAGTAGCAGAACCATCAAGCATTCCATGACTCTTGAAATCGCTGTAGCACACCAAGCTTTGAGGTCGCGTCCGTCGAGTAAGAAACGAGGCCGCCGGTAATCGGAACTGCCAGGCCGACGTTATCTGCGGGCATGACCTCTGCCGTAATGCTGTTCCAGGATATGAAAGGAAACGGCCACGGGCCCTCAGGACTCGACGCAACGATCATTCGAGCACAAATCTCGCCCGTAGCACCACACCTCAAGCTGAAAGCTACCGGCTATCTGCTCAACAGCAGCAGTCAGCCCAAGTCATATAATTGCGGAGCAGCTATCGAGACAAGCTTACTTCTGAGCTTAGCACGTGCATCTCCGTTGAAGACTCCAGGGTGATGTCGGGGATGTGGGTTGGAACATGCCTGAGACTGAGACCGAACGCCCAGGGCTTTGAAACTAACCTTGCCACAGTCTGAGCTGAGCTGCACCAAGTTCGGCCCCATATCGATCACCTCCAGCCAGATCGAAGGCTTGATGGAAAAAGGCAGAGGGCTACTAAGCCTCTAAGCGTCACAGCTCACAGCTGTCGATCTTGCAGGCTGGCGGCTGTTTCCACCGTGGTCCCGATGCCCCAACATCGCGGAAAGAACCTTTGTCGATCATTCAATTCCTCGACATCCTGGCCGAGTGCATTGAGACGGCTTGGCAATGCAACTCCAAAAGCTCAATGGCAATTCACAGTCCTTGGTGCAGTTTTCCAAGTCAGACCTGTTTGGATGGGATCTTGAGTGGGCACACAGAAAAACAACAAACTGAGACAATCGCTTTCTTGGGATGAAGTTGTCAGGTGCAGGCCGGGTGGTGGCGACGCATGTGTACTTCCTTCGATATGTGACAAGGAACTGCAAACGAAGCGGCATTTGCTGGCCACGCCGTGTAAGCTATCAATGAAACAACAATTAAACCCGCGAAACCCAAGACAAAAGCGCGGCTTGTACCGACGAGGTTCATGAAGGTGTTGAGCACATCCACTTCGACACTGACCTCAAGCTGCACTGCAAGCACAAGACGAGTGATAGGTAAACGCGCCAGCGCCAGGAGACTCGACAGCAAGTCGAAACCAAAGGCCGCACCGCGTACTTCGCTGCTGGAAGCTTCGGCTGCCAATATCCTGGTGTGACCCCGACCTGCAAGCTCTGGCGCTGCCAGGATTCCGTGCTATGTGCTCGGAAATGTCACGTCTCTGCCTGTCGCACTGCCAGAATCGACCCGGTGACCTCGGCACCGACATGGGCCAACTGAGATGGGAGATGAAGCTCCAAAATCTGCCCACCAAGCAGACCAAGCATTTGGCGCGAACAGTGCCTAGCTCATGCCTGTAGCGCTCGTACGGGGTTGACTGGCCTGGTTCGACACAAAGCGTGCCACCTGCCGGCAAGAAGGAGCTGCATGCTTGCAAAGGGGAATCGAGCAATTGCGCCGTCCGCCCAGAACTCCATGCAGTTTTTCCGTCACAAATGGCATTTTGTCCAAAGTAGTCTTCTTGAGGGGGTGAAACGAGCAGAAGACTTAAATGGGAGGGCAGATGCTGACGCTGGCCTATACAGATCTCTCGCTCTCGTTCTGTTGACGGGAGTCACTCTACATACTGCCAGACATTCTCATCTTCTGGAGCCGGGTGACAACTGCTGCAAAGCAAGGAGCGATCGGAAGAGAGCAGCAGCCTCCCGGAGGCGCCACAAAGGGAACAACGAGCAGGGCAAACCTCGCGCCGTGCTCGCGCCGCGAGTGCCAGAGGAATGCTGGAGGGCCGGATGCCCCACTGCACGCGGGCAGTCCCGCCCAGAATACAGCCTGCCAAGAGCCCCGCAGGGCCAGCGAGGGCCATGCCAGTGAAGGCGCAAACTGCTGGAGTCGAGTCCATGAGCTGCATAGCAGCATCCAGCACTTGGGACGAGAGCGCAGTCGGCTCAGTTTCGAGATCGACATAGGCCAACAGCTGTGTGATGTAAAGCTGACAGTCGTCGTTCGACGACCACCCAATGCCACAAACATTGAAGGGTCCTAAAAGGTTCTTCCGGTGTCCAGGCGAGGCGATCCATCCATCCACGGTAGCCTTTGCCATAACTTCCCGGGCGTAGCCCTTCGAAACTGCCAGGTTCTCTGCGAAGTTGTGGCACAGGAGGCCAGAGTCCTGGAAGCGCTCCGTGGCTCCCTCATGGCTGAAGGGTTGGCAGTGGTCGGCCATGGCCAGCGCATGCTTCCGGGCCACGGCGCTTAAGGCCTCGTGCAACTCCAGCCGTGGGAGGTTTTCCTGTTCTCGGAACTCATTGGTCAAGGCTAGCACCTCCTCCTGCAGTGGGCAGCACATCCTCGGCTGTGCTTTGACGAAAGTGCCACCTACTGCATCCTGTCTCCATCTGGGAGCAGCATCCGCATCTTGAGCCTTCAAAGGTGCCTCGAAGTTGGAGCAATTGCAGGACAAAGCTCGCGCCGAGACAGAGGAAAGCGACAGAGAGAGGGAAAGAGAGAAAGAAAGACAGAGCGAGAGCGACCAAGCAAGCAAGGAGAGCGAGAGACAGCGAGAGCACAAGCGAGCGCGGGAGGGAGGATGCAAGACTCACACTGCCACGAAAGCCGGATGGCCTATGATGTAGGCGCAATAGCAGATCCGGTATGTACCCGGCTCGCCTAGGATTCGAGGGGATCGCTGTTCACATTTCCCTGCATGCCGTCACAACAGCGTCTGAGTGTGCCAGGGGCTGCGGCGGACGCTGCTAATTATCCACGTGGCAGCCCAGAGGTCTGGAATGATGGCCTGGGAGTTTTTCATTCATGGACAGCCGTAGGCTTAGTGTACATTAGAGCACTGAAGCCCGCGCATCCGGCTGAATGTTCTCAGGAGTCATGGCAACTGCCCAAGAAGGGTACTGTCCAGCGTTCACCTCAGATGTACCCTTATCTGTGCCAAACCAACAATAGCTTCCCTTTCGGACTCTCAAGGCAGGTGCCATTCCGCAGTAGTGGCCGACGCCATCCTGTTCACAACATAGATGCTCTCAGACTGCCAGGCAGAAGGGAGATGTCCTTCAGTAGCACCATCCGGTCAAGTGCATCGAACTGAGCTCCCCGAGCTGTGATCTGACACGACCTCAGGCTGTGCATGCATACAGCATACATACACGCACCAGCGACAAACAGCCAACGACACACAGACAGAGACACACACACACACATAAACAAAAAAACACAAATTGTAGAGATTGTGTAACAGGTTCGAGGGCTGAACTCGCCCTGCTCACACCGGAGCTCAGAGTTGAACTCTGACCCGCGAACGAAGAGCTCGCCTGAACTCTGCGCATGTCGGGGAGATCGTGACAGAGGTCGCCTTCGCCTTACTTCACGGCCCGGCTATGATTGCAAACACCTGCCTGCAGCTTGGTCGAAGTCTGCTCGATTCTCGCACATTCCGCTGCTAGCTCGGTGCCGGCTGCAGTAACACCTCAATGACAGGAGCAAACAACAGGATGCCTGTAAATCACGCGGTTCGGATCCGGGCATAATCCGCCCGAGAATGTGGCAAAGAATCTGCTTCTCTACTTCTAAGAGTCTTGCAGCCGATGTCTCCCAGTTCGAATCGGAGTGCCGAGGTCAAAAGTCCAACTCTCAAGGCCTGCTGCAGGCATGTGCCATCAGAACGAGGTCATGTCGCTCAAAGCAGTGGAGGTTCCTGACTGATGCACCGGTCCGTGCCTTCGTTACTTGTGGAAGTGAGATTGCCAATGAAAAGCCTTTTTTGCGTCGAGACTCCAATGTCGCGCGCGCACGCACACAAAACAAAGTCCACAGCCAGGGCTGCAGCCTGTCCCCTCCGGCCGTGAAGAATCGCGGCCTGAGAGGTGCCAGCGATTGGCGGCGTCAAACTATGGAGAAAAAGACAAGCTACCTGCCTGTGTCATCTGGGTTCCCTGCCCATCAAGGCTGAAACTCACTGGGCTGCCAGTTTGCCCGCAGTTGTCCATTGGATCCAAGAGCATCACGGCCTGGGACGATGACCGGCATCGAGAAGTGCAACGCAGCTCAAGGCAAGGGAGCTCTCTTGGCAGATGGCATCCTGAACGTCCAGTCCTGCACCTCGTATGTTCAGTCTGCATGCGCCTCTCCTTAGCTGTCAGATGGCTATTTGGACCCCAGTGGCTGAGCATCCACCCAGCGGAAGTCTCGGCAACATACTCGGGAAGGGGCAGGTAGCATTTGTGATAATCATCACGCCCCTGAAGTCCCATCACAGTGACCTGCAACTGGTCCGATAGATTTCAGATGTCGGATCACAAAAAGGGGAAGTTTGCATGCATGCAGCCTGTCCAGCTTGCTGGAAGAAGTCGAGGTCTGTCACCGAACTTGTTCTGCAGATCTCAGCCGCAATGGATCAACAGGTGTTCGCTCCTAAAGTCATTTTCGCACCTTGCCAGTCAAGGACAGCTGAGACCTCCGCTGATCCTTGACAGTAGCAGGCAAGATAGATGCCGGGAGCCTGCAGGACAGTTGCTTTTTCAAGCGGCTTCCGAAACATGCTACTGCATGATAGTCAGCCAGTTCACTCAGCAGTGACGCTTCATGGTGTCAGTCTGTCCCATCTGGCCCCTTCTTGCCGCTTGCCTGTGGGGAGCCGAACTCGAAGAGAACGACGTCTTGCCCAGTGGTGTCTCTTCCTGGCAGCCGGGAAGCCTGGCCTGAACCTTTCGACATCAAAGTCATCAAACCATGCTGGCTGCACCCTCGTATCCACTGATCCTCGTACCCCTCGTGAAGCTCGTGGCGGCTGCTCTACTGTCTACGCCACAGCGGGCACCTTACCCATGCTGTAGTGGCCAAGTGGTGTCCACATGGCTCTCCGGATGCTCATCTTAAGACTGCGACCGGGAGCAGCGGCGACCAACTGCAGGTAATCGCCAGAGGCAAGGCCGTCTGCCAACCAAAGCTCGCAATGACTCCCGCTCTGCAGATTCGACTGCTCTACGCGTTTCTTGGATATCCGGCAGCCGGGTGGGGTTGTTTGCTGACGTAGTCCAAACTGAACTTTTCGTGACCGAGACGTAGGCCTGAGACTGTCGCCAGAGAAGCCCAGCAAAATGTGGTGCGAACTACAAAATGCCGTGTCGTGCAGGTTTCGGCCTCTAGCACTCCGACTATGCTGGCTGGCCTCCTAGATCTCGCACACCCGAAATTAAACCTCTGTGTCTAGTCTAGAGGGCGAGAACATTTCACCGCAGCGCCCTGCAGATCATGCCTGTGCTACTGGCCATGTCAGAGCACAGCATGATAACTGTTTAGAGTCTAGCCGGCCAAAGGCTGCCTGACATCTGGATCTCGACAGTGCAAGGGAAGTAGGCTGCACAATGCCAGTGTTCACCGATGTTCCTTGGCATCTAGACGTCTTATCAAGATATGGGCGGGTGAGGCTACATCGCATCTTGCTTAGGCTCAGACACTCCATTCGCCATGATCATGCCTCATCTCAAGCCAGCCGTCTGAGTCATGGAGGTTGACAGGAAATGCTCATTGCGGTGCTCCAAATTCTCACAAAATCGGGCTTGCTGCACCTCCTGTTGGGCGTCAGTTGGCGCAGGGTCACACGTGATTCTGGATCCTCTTCTTGCTGCACGGTTACCGGCGCGGAATGAGAAGTCCTCGTCACTGTCGCATCCGCCTGCCACATGTGCTGGCAAGAAACCCAGGCCCTGAGTAGGTCGGAGAAACCTAAGCTGATGCGAAGAAGCTTGGGCAAAAGACGGGCTTCTTCTTTTGCACTTTCTGCGGGGCTTAAGCAAACCCCTGAGATGAGCACGCTAACTTCTTATGCTGCGGCGACCTTCTAAGACGCAACCGAAGCTTGAACATTCGAGCACTTGGCGACGGCGATCTGAAGGATGCAAAACCATGTTTGAGTATGAAGGGAGGGAGAGTCTGTTAGGGAGGGAACTACGTAAGTTTCTGACTTCAACTGTCAAAAGGATCAAAAGGCTCAGTGGGATGAGGTAAAGGCTTAGGGCTCCCTTAGGTGTGATTCTAGTGATTCGTGCTCTTACGAGCGAAGCATGGGAGGAAGCATCAAAGGTCAATGGCAACAGGGTGCCATTTGGCTCAAGGTACCTCGCAGAGCGTAGCAAGTGGTTCAATCCCTGTACTCGGCGGGAGAGAGAAAAATTCAATTCACTTTTCTCGGCCACCAGATTCAAGGTATCTCCCTGCCCTGACAGCTTAGATCTGTCTCACTCCAAGCTCAACTTCGATTGTGCAGTATTGGCACGGCCCCAGCTGAAAAGAGCTGGCCAGCTGCATCCCCGACACAGGCGAGGCCTTGACCGGAGTTACACCAGCAAATGTTGTAGGTCCCACCTCAGGGACGTCTGCTCGTTACTGAGACTAAGAACCGTGTCAGTACGTGACGCGCATTGGATCCGAGTTGGCTCCAGGCTCTCCATGATGAGCACCGGATCCCAGCTCTGGGATTCATTGTCTGGGCCCATCTCAGGGGCCTGGTTCGGCTTCGCTTGGAACCGTCCGTGGCATGCTTCCTCTCAAGTGTTCGATCGCTCTTGGTGTTCTGCAACTCTAGCTCAGAGGGCTCAGAGGCAGGCTCCCCACACTGGTGAGTCTATGCACGTAGGCCAGCACGCCAAAGCCGCAACTGCGGGCGAATGCTCCTCAGCTATGAACTTTGCGTTTCAATCTCGCAATAACCCCCGGCTTGAACTTGGCTAGCCGCAGCGGTGCCGAAGCCTCCACACCTGCCATCCGACCTCAGCCGCTCAGCCCAGCTATTTTTCGCCCTATATTTCGCGACAGATCGACCAAGCTTCGCGCACTTCAGAGCGGACAATCCTGCGAGATTGGCCGGACGTGCAGAAGCTCATGCTGCATGCCCCCACTCTCCGCGAAAATGCCCCAGATCGGCGTGAACATCTATTGCCCACACTCCTGATGCGGTCGTCCGCTGTGAGATAGGAGCCCGTTGCCGCAGTGACGGTAAGGGAAAAGGGGCCTTCAAGAAAAATCGCCGCACGGACTACTCGGACGGCAGTCAGGGTTAAGGTGGTGCTTGGCATGCAGCTTACAACAGAATACGATGACCATCTTCCGTAAGGCCCCCACGCCCAGGAATCGCATTGATGTAGGTCGAGTTGGAAGCGCCCCTGGGGTTAATGATGCCGATGTCCAACCTGAACACGTTGCTGGTGTTGGTGCCCCTGGGCTCCGAGAACCCAGTAAGACACTGGCGCAAAATGGGCACCGTCAATGCACCCCATGAAGAAGTGAGCACACCAACACACTCGATACGATCCTGATCAGCAGCATCGTTTCGAATTCCGGAACATTCCGGACGAACTCTGTCAGTCCAAGGTTCGCATCTCCCGGGCCTCAGCAGCTCAGCCACAGCAACACTTTCGCAGCAATCAGCAACACGGAGCGTGACCGTGCACATCAATTTAAATTACGAAGGACTCAAAGTGGGCATGCGGCCACGATGTCAGTCCAGCTCGCACTCGTACGGTTGGCGGGGTCTGAGCCCTCCGTGTATGTCGGAGGTCCTGGCAACAGCGCGGCTCAGGAGTCAGAACTCCGAGATTTGCAGATGCAGTCCGTTGGGCACGGTGCTAGCTTCGATGCCAAGGGAACTCGGCACATCAGGGAATAGCGGTCAATGCTAGCAGACTGGAGCAAGTCATCCAGTAGGTCGCCGGCTGTGTCTCTGCTCCAGCCCGCCCGCAGCGGACACTTTGATCCACGATCCGTATCCTCGTGTCGAATCGTAGCCGGCCATGATGCAGCCATTCTCCAACACTGCAATCTGTCGGGAAGGTGCTCCTGTCATTGCTGCTCATGCCCCATCCTGTGATGGTGTACGCGAAGGGCCTGAGGACAACCCAGAGCAGGTTGACGGGCAAGCTTCGAAGAACGGCATGACTTGGCAGTGCTACAGAGTCTGCTATGTCCCACAGGGCTCCAGGCACACCGATCGGTGGCCGGTCAATTTGACCTGCAGGCATCAGAATGGATCCGTCTTCACCGGCTTTTTCCACTTCTTGGCTTCGGGTTTGCGACTGGCCCGGCCTTGGTTCGGGCCGCCACTGGTGACGTTGCCAGCATAGACTGTGTACTCTTCCATTTGCGTGCAGCATGTTGGGCACTGGATCTCGTCGTAACCTTCGCTACCGCGCCAGACGACAGAGGGTCGCTGCTCACTGTCTGAGAGACTCAGCGAAGGGCTGCCACACCAACAAGCTTTGAAGTCACCATGCCGGCCCATGATGATGCCACCAAATCGTGATAGAGTGTCCTCAGTAGCTCAGCCACTGCTGCGTTCCTACATGCGGGCACTTCACAGTCCAAGGACTGGACAGATCCACTTGTTCTGGGGCTGGCGAAATCACCCCCGGAAACTACGGCGCTGGACTGTGGAGCAAAGCCACACCTGCACAGCTAGCCGTGGATCCACCATCTTGGCGACACCCCGGCCCGACGCATAAAGCCTAAGATCCCGGCTCCAGATGATCGGCGATGGTAATGATACGGTCATTGTTGTTCAGGCCTGCAGAGCACGAGCGCAATCAGTAGAATTTCCATACCTTCCACCATCAGCCACAGAAGCCAAGCCTGATCCGGTCATTTCAAGCGTGCAGGCAACCTGATTTGACAAAGAACGCGCAGTCGGGCAAGAAGTGCAGGGCGAGCAGGTTCATCACTTGAGTGCCGGGCACCGGTGATGCACGCAAAAGACTGCGGGTGGCAAGACAGAGGCTCGTCACTGCACGGTTCGGACGTGGTGCAGGGGCAAGATGGTTCGCATGGCCTGGATAACACCTGCTGTAGGCCCACCCACTTCGAGAGTCGCAACCTCGACAGCGTTCATTGTGTGTGCGTGTGCGCATGGTGTACCTGGACTGTACATGGAAAGCGCTTCCCAGCAAGCTCAGCATTCTATGCAACCGGCATTCGTTGTGAACTCCTGGTCATCGCTGCAGCTGTTTGACACCGTCCCACCGGCCGAACACCAACAGACCTGGCCAGGCTCATGCATGGACTGCAACACTGGACCTTAGGAAGCGAAGCATACCCCACAGAAGTTACCTGCCAAAATCTGGAGTGCACCGCAAAGCCAGGTTACGAAGTTCCCAAACTCAACATCCCTGCGGGTTCCTAACGCAAACTTACTGCAACCCTCAACTGACGCAGCCCGCGCCCTAAACCTGCAGAGTCCTAAACCCCAAAGTGCTCTAAACCTTATAGTCTAATCCTAGGGAAAACCCTTCGCCGATCCGAAGCCCCGACATGCCCCGAACCTACAAAGACGCTTCTCTCGGCCGCCTGATAGGTTCCGGGCACTGTCACTCCGATGTTCTCCCAGATCCTTAGGTCGGAGACGCCAGGATGAAGAGCTTCTCCGACCCAGGCTACCATACACACTAGTGGTGATACTAGGGGTCGTGGCCTAATTGCTATAAAGAGTCGGAAAAGTGTTAGCAGCAAGTGTGCAGTATGCGACCACATTTCTGGAAAATGAGAGACTGCAAGGGCGAGGTGCTTTCGGTACGCAAGCAGATCTTCAAGCCAAAGCCTTGGACCATTAGACAAGCCGAACCTCAGCCCTAACTCTCAGAGCCGGTCAGCTCTCCGACCCTGACAAGGAGGAATGCTCACTCCCCAAATGTACAACTTGCGATAGGTTTCTCTTCCTATGAACGAAGCACGTACACTCCGCTCTCTTTCCTTGGAGCGTCTTGCCTTTCAGTCAGGGTGCTCTTGCGAAGCAGAGCCAGAGCGTCTCTGACCCGACGGGTCTTCGTATGGAAAATCTGTTGCAACCTCGAGGCCAAAAAAAAGAGTGCGCACAGCTACACATCTGTTGTGCATTGGGTTACACATCTCAAACCCCATAAGCTCATGCTTCGATGAATCAATGAAGGATGCGACCCTGAGCTCTTCAACCAGCAACTTTCACAAACTCTCCACACACAGACCTCATGAAGAATGGTGCTTGTAGTTGCTCGTGCACAGGACCTGGGGCTGACATAATTGAGGCATCCACCGCAGGGTGCATTGGTTTGGATGCTCCGAGGTCCTCAGGAAGCGAAAGCTGTCTAATCATCACACACTCTCCCGCGACCAGTAAGCACTTGATGATGTTGAGACCTCCTTCAAAGCACATATTCAGGAGGCGACCTAGAGTTGGTCTAGCAGCTGCGCTGACCCCCCAGGAAAACCCATCCCGCAAGTGCCCGGCAAAGCAGTCGGTCGAGCCGTCTGTGATTCGGATTCGATCTCTGCTGCTTAAACTGCCAGGATCACAGAAACTGGAGGACACCCGAGAACATGAAAGGGCTTCAATGCAGCTCTCAAATGGCGCCTGGTGCCCTGCAGGATCAACCGGAAAGGCGTTCCTGCCCGCTCGATCAGCGTCCCCTCATTCCTCCACAGGAAACAGCGGGAAACTCTGTGCTGCAAGCACCCAGAAGTCGGTCCTCGGGCCATTCACGGTTACTGTCCCCGTGGAATCCTTAGCAAAGAGCTAGCAACGTAAGTGCAACCGTCTGTCAGACTCAGACACGGCCGAGACGCGGAGCCCAGCCAAAATCTTTCGGCTGTGATGCATGGGAGAGATGTTGCAGTCCTCATGGAACCGGAAACCAGAAGCGATGTTGGAATTGACGACCACGGTCGCTGAGGCAAGGGCGATGTGGAGGTCATTGTAGTCGTAGTAACCGCTGACCCATCGTCTGCTGTGCTGTTCCCTGCTGCGGGGCCTCCTGAGTCCCGTAGACACTGCCCAGACGGTTGAAATTAGTCCAAGCAAGCGTGCTGCATGCGACAGTGCTAACTTGGTTGATGCAGAAAGTGCCGTCTCGTCTGAACCACCAGCACCAGCCTGAACTTGGTGGCCCAGGACGGTGCATCGCGGTGGCGTCGCAGACACAGATAGTGTAAGTGCCCGCCTTGCAAGTGAAGGACTTACAGCCCTCAGCACCTCGTCATTCAAGCGCCTGTACCTGCCTGGTACACAGACAAGTCCTCACAGACCAATCTCCCGGCTGCCTGCAGAGCTCGGAGCTCAGGAACACCGGCATGCAGGAGCCCCCGAGCTTCGAGCGCTGCTCTGTCCGTCACAAACCAAGCTGTAGTAGTCGGCCACAGTGGAGTACTTTCCTGTCGCCGAGGTTGCGACACAAGTGCTAACTCCGGCTTGAGCCAGCTGCCTCTCGGAGGAGTTGCTGGATCTCCACATGCAATGCCAGTCGGGACTAGGAGGATCTTGTCCTTGTGACGTCTGCGGAGCTCACGTGGCATAGGCATATACATGAAGACAACTGACCTGTTTAGCCTGCTAAAGACTCAGTTCGGCCACGTTGATGTAATCGAAATTGCTTCCGAAGACCTCGACCTTGAAACTCCATCCTTGCAGCAGCGCTCTTGCCAAGCAGAGCCGTTCGGTTGCCCAACTTTGTCGCGCTCCTTTCCAACTACGCCGTGCGGCCTGGTCGAATAACGTACGCAGAGGTGGCGGAGGTGAAGTCAATGACGGCGTCGCCAGCCAACGCAAAGTGAATTACCTGTTTCGGGATACGAATACAGTACATCAGTACAACCAAAGACATGCAGTTACAAATGCATGCTGGCAACAGGCCTCCAGGAGGAGGGCGGCCCGCATCTTTCCAGGAGCTGCGATCTTGGAGACCCTGCTGACAAAGGAAGCATGAGGCAAAACGCCTAAGATGAGACCAAAAAGTAGCAACGATGATCTTGGCATGGTGTCACTATATCTAATACAGTAGTAGCAGTCGCAGCAGTCAATGGCATCGGTAGCTGCCGCAGCAGCAGCAGCGGTAGCGGTAGCGGCAGCGGCAGCAGCAGCAGCAGCAGCAGCAGCAGTAGCAGTCGCAGTGGCAGTAGTAGCAGCAGCAGCAGTAGCAGCAAGCAGCAGCAGCAGCAGCAGCAGGAGGAGCAGTCGCAGTCGCAGCCGGAGACAGCCTTAGTAGAAGGAGTAGGAGTAGGAGAAGGTGTTGGAGTGGCAGTAGTAGTAGTAGTAGTAGCAGCAGTAGTAGCAGCAGCAGCAGCAGCAGCAGCGTTGGAGTCGTTGTCATGGCTTCGTGGTGGTCGTGGCGCCCGTGGTTGTAGCGGTATTTGTAGTCGTCGTCGTTGTTGCTAGTACTACAGAAACAACGACGGAAATGATGACAAGGGGCTTTGCCTGAGCCTCCAAGGGCTTCGCTGAAGCGACTACAGGCCTCTGGAACGGGAAGACGCAGAGCAAAGGTGAGGCGCTCTTCTGCCCACTGCTTATCTGGCTTGGAGGCTGACAGGGCTGCTGCGAGATGCGGAAGCCCAAAGAGGTTCGATGAATTAGCCTGCCATGATCACCGCAGAGCTTGCCGAAAGCCGCAAAGTGGCACCATGACCCAGCTCTCAGCTTGAAACGTGGCTCTTGGCAGGACCCAAGTCTGCCGCTGACGGTGCAAGGTCAAAGCAGGCCGGCTTTTGTAGCCTCGGTTAGTGAAAAGAGATGCTGAGCAGTGGTGCTTTACAGATGCTGCATATCAAAAGTCGATATTCGGTTTCTTGAGGTCTAGCACTTCATATACAGATCTACGAATACAGATGCCCAAATTTGCGGCAAGGTGGCACGATTCGCCCGACGATAGTTGCCCGGATGTGAAACTCTGAAAACTTCATCGTCGGAGCCGAAAGAGCCAAGGTAGATTGCAGCAAATCACTCCATCGTCAGTGCTCCGCTGAGTCTCCGGAACTCATGCCGGCAGGAAATGTCCGGACTCATGCACAAGCACCGGGATCTTTTCCTTTCTTGCAGGTGCTTCGTACACCAGCTGCATAATGCCGCACCTCAATGATCCTGAACCAGTCTCAGAATCTCAGAATCTCATCAACATGTTTGGCATCAACGCGTACAGTGTTCCATGATGCAACCTTCCAATGACAAGCTAGTTGTTAGGGGTGCTGTGGTATGAATTCAGCCGCACTGCCGCTGCAGACATTGGTCCAAGATCCACTGATGCCATGAGCCCTTAGCAATGCATCAAAGTGCTGTGACGTCTTCCTGCAGATGGCTGACTTCGCACAATGCGCATGGCAAGCTGCTGAAGGCGAACAGGATGAACCAAGGCTAGGTCGAGTTACATGTCCGTGGTGATGTTGGGAAAAGTTCGATCGTCACCCGACACGGACGGCATAGTCCACGTCAACGTCTCCACACCCAGTAGACGAGACACATCATGGCGTGAGCCAACTGACCTGACGCAAAACCAAGATCCCAGTGCCAACAAGCGGCACGAAGGGCTGGAGAAGAGACCGGGGAAGTTGAGCCAGTGATAAAGGTGACCAGACCGGTTAAGCTGAAGTGAGGCAGAACTGCAAAGCTCTTAATCCTGAGAGTCCCCATCCCAAGGCCAGGACTCGCTTGAGCCTGCCCTGGGCTGTTGTGTTTGGCTAGGCGCGCGTGCCGACCTTTTCCCTTCCGCTTGGAGCATGATCGCGCAAGGGAAGGGCCTTAAGCTAAACTGGCAGGGAAGCAAGACGCCACCGATGGATCCGGCATCAGCATGACATGCTTAGGAACTGATACGGCAAACACAATCAAGAATGAAGCAAGGACAAGAACTTCAGAATGAGATGAGCGACATAGAGAAACACTTGCTTCCGAGCCTGAGCACTGCTTGGCCTTAGGCCAGTGGCCACCGTGTTGGTTGCCAAGGTCTGCTAGAAAGCTTGGTCATTTCCTGGTCAAAAGGTTGGCTCGTATCTTGGGAGTCTTGAGACTTACATGCGAAATGGTGGTAAACTGTAAGCCAACGAGACATGAGCGGTGAACGGCCTTCAGGACCATGTGTTGAACCGATTCGGATCGGCCGTCTTTGGGGTCCCCGGTGAGGACCTTGCAGATCGTGCTCGTACCTGGCAAAGCTCCCTGGGCACAGAAACAAAGACTCCTGTGCCCTTCTGCAGCGCATGGCCACCTCCGGAGATGTTGGTCGCGACGAGGCGCCATGACCTTGCTGTGGGCTCCCAGGTTCCTGGGCCAAAGCTTCGCGCTTCTGACGATGTGGACAGTTTTAGTCAGGTCCAGTACTGGTAACATTCAGGGCCGGTGCAGGAGAGATTTTTTTTGAGGGAGACTCGCTGTAAATGATGTCCCACTGTCTTCTGCGATTCTACTCTTGCTTCCCGAGTTATCCTCTACTTGGACGCCACTTCCTCAATACACACGTTCGCCCTCTGTTTCAATTTCGGAACTTCAATAAGTCACCCTGCATGCACGTCCCTGTGACTAATACGACAAGACCAAGAAATCAAAACCGCAAGCCCTGCATGCCAACCGAAGCTGCTTAAGCCGCACCCAGTGCCTCCCTATCACAACCAGCGCAGCAGCTTGTGTATTAAGAGGCTGTCTAAACCTGAGGTTGGGTCTTGGAATAAACACATCCAGTCTTGAAGATTCGCAGTTGCAGTGGATTTCAATTTTCGCATTTCACCAAATACCGACATACAAAGAACAGATTTCGAGACCGAGGAGCTTACAGAATCTTACAGACTTACAGTGCAGGGCCGCGGTGGGAGCGCGATCCCACCCCAAACCTCACGGGCATGGCGGGAGCCTGATTCACCAACTTCGCAAATGCCATCGAGTTCGGTGTCCCCGGCGCACGGGGCTGCCCCGGAATGCGAAAGAACGTGACTTGAATCCGTCTGGCACCACTGCGCAACAGCGGGAGAGCCATTGGAATGCCAACCGGTACTGCAAGCCGGCCACATACCAATAGATCGCCCACCAAAGCCCGAAACGAAGCAAAGACGACACTGGCCAACCGGAACCTTTGTGCTCATGCCAGACCAAGCGCCGAGTGCTTTCCCGGTGGATGTCCCGAACGATATCCGTGGTACAATACTGTCGGTCGCCACCGTCCGAATCTCAAAGGGCGATTCTTGACTAACGTTGCAGTTCCGCTTGAATGGTCAGCCGCCGGCCCGAGATCGACTTGGCAAGACCAGCTGCTATGTACTTTATTATCACGATCAGCATCTGTACTCCTATCCCAGGCTATCAGCGAGAGTTTGCAACACACTGCTAGTACTACAGCTATATAATGCAGTCGCCAAAGCATTTGCTTGTTTTGTTTGTCAAGCATGGTGAGGTTCCCAGCTGCCAGGTACCCGGCTGATACAGCGGGAGCGGAATGTCTCTTAGCTGCTTCATCCTCAGGTTGTGCGTTGGGCTCCTTGCAACGAGACAGGAAGCAAGCCTTGCATGGGGTCGAGGTGCTAGTCAGTCTGCGAGAGCGGGAGTATTCTGAAGTTTACAAGGCTCACGCAGTAGCTGCCAATATCGTGGTTCGGCGTTCATGCTGGACTGTCACCGATGCTCCTCTGCCAGGGGTGCAGAGGTAGGCGAGCCAGCCTACAAAGCGCCCCAAGGCTCGGCGTTGCATCTGGTTGCAGTTCTTCAAAAGAGCAAGTCAACCGAACAAGGCCTGGACAAATACTGTGGTTTTAGCCAAAGTGTGTCCCGTGCCCGTGCGTTACTCCAACCGCCCTCCCTGAGCGGCGCCTTGCCGCCGTTTCTTCCCGGACGCTTCCGAGTGATCAAAGCGGCTTCGATGATGCCTTGAAGAGCTTTACGAAGCCTCCAACGGAGGCCACCGAACTTGGCCGTAGCAGAACATGATTCATGGGCAGGGTGTCAGTACGGTAGTGCCTCTGTGCTTCAAGCGTCATGGGGTTCGCTGGCACCGCCTCAAGAGCACCTGCTTGTCGCAACACTTGGTCGAAGAGTCTACCTCAAAAGCGCTTTGCAGGCCGGTTGCCTGCGGAAGGAGGACTCGTCAGGCCCTTGGCATGCCAAGGAAAAAGGCGAACTCTCCGGCGACTGAGTGCCACTGAACTGCCACTGAAATAGACTTCGCGATTGACACTGGGTCCGAGAAGTCTCAGGTTCGAGCACAAAGAATCAAACTCGCTTCCGTCTTGGAAGCCCATTCCGCATACGCATTGAGCACATCCGTTGCTTCCTTCACCTGCCGGAGTGGCTGATGTAAGTCAGCTGTACCGACAGTTTCGTTCGGTGAATCGTGCCTTGGCCTGGACCGTCTGCAGAAAAGCCTTGCGAGCAACAGGGCTTCCTGTGAAGCACATCGACATAGCTGTTGTCATTAGTTTAGTTCGAGGGCACCCGAGCATCATTGTCGGTGGTAACCTTGCGACCATCTCGGATGTGAAATGTAACAGCTTGGAAAGCTCAAGTCTTGTTCCACTAACTTGTAAGCCCTTCAGCCGTACTCTAAGATTGTAGCCGCCAAAGCAGTCTGCTTGACATCAGAACGCCGCATGGTCAGCTCGCAGCCAGCTACCTTCAAGCGCAGGCGCTCTGCCTCCGCACCTCGGAAGTCGAGGTCTTCAACGACGTGGGGAATTTCGAAGATTCAAGATGCACCATGCGACCACGTGAAGCCTTCAAGACTCGCCCAACGTCTCAAGATCATCTTGGAATCGCGCGTGCAGAGGCCAGATCAAACACCTCCTTCTTTTTCACAGCTTTCCAAACTGCGTCCATGTCCTCACAGGGCGGAAGGGTGCTTTACATTCGGGGACTCTGCAGAGCACAAGGACTTGAAAAGAAGTCAGGCACTCCTCCTCAACAGCGGAGCCTGGAGGAGCATAGCCTGGTTTCAGTGATGCACTCTCCCCGACATCTGGACATGTCTCTGCGGTTGCATCCAGCAGGCAGATCTTGTGCAGAGCGCGCCGAAGCTTGTAGGTCTCGCTGTTCAGATGCTTGATGGGCCTCGCGTAGGTTGCCACCAAGTCGGCAAAGACCCCTGCAAGCTCCAAGCCTCCCCTCTGCACTGGCTTGAGCTTTGTGCCTCGGCTTTTATACAGGGCCAGCTTTGCTATGGCATTCTTATAAGCACACATCTTCGAATCTGAGGCCCTTGTGCTGCCCACTCTTCAGTCCGGGGAGCTGCATTCCCCAAACGGACTCTTCCTGTGCGATGGCGAGCAGAAGCTTTTTGAGCCTGGGCAGATGGAATCCTGGATTGTGAGTCTTTTGGGGGATTGATGGCTTGGCTGTATGCTAGCAGAAAGAAGGCGAGCATATCTCGTGGGGGGCCATCATGACGGGCACCGGTGAAGTGCGCAACCTAGTAACCCACTACCGTATGTTGCAGGAAGGCCTGCAAGCCGTTGATTGCAGGAAAGTCTCTCCAATGTCTGTTCGCAATGCTTCATCTCTTGCACTCCTCGTTTGCAATCAGGCGCACAACCATGCCGAGACATCCCTGGTCGTGGCACGTCCCCCATCGCCGCCAACAGAAACCAAGAAAACGTGTCTGCAACAAAGCTGCCCAAAGCGCGGACCATGGGGCCCAGGGAGTCAATGACCTTGGAGCCGCATCACCACATTGAGACTACGAGTGATTCCTGATCTCGTTAAGCTATGCAATCTACAAGTTGCAAAACCGCAAGCCGCGTGGAAGTCGTTCTGAGCTCGTGGCCAGACACATGCGGTCTCTCATGAGCCTGCAGAGAGCATAATCGAAAAGCAGTTGCCCCTGTATCGAAAACCCCCAAAACGAGGCTCATGATTGCAAGGAGGCGGCCTGAGCCCAGCTGCGATGTCTCGCTGAATCAGCGCTTCTCTGCCTGAGACGACTGCAACGGATGCTGCCGCTGCCCGTGCTTTGCTTCAGCAAAAGCCCCTCGGTGCCACTGGGAGGCGCAGGGTCTCATGCACGACTCCAGGGGATGACAAACGAATCAGCTCGTTGGCAGTGTCTAGCGCCGAGTCCAACCTCAGATGCGGGGATCGTCTGGGGCATAGTCATCTATAGTACTAGTGTCCTGCATAAGCACCCCTTTGCACGCACAGAACCAGGTGCTCTTTTCCTTCTGGCAGTGCCTCTCCTCCGGGCCAGCTCAGTGTGTATCTTGCATCCTCCGGGCCATTGCGCATGCCGTCAAGTGTCTTAGGGCAAGCTACTCAGCTACCCAAGCCCTGGCAAGCAAAGTTCGTGAGGAGCCTCGGAGCTTGCGCCAGGCCAACGAAGGAAGCAAGCTTAGATAGGAGACTAGGGGTATTTAGGCAGATGCTGCTACGGCAAACACCACGGCAGAGATAGCTTGGATCGAAGCCCTCAAAGTACACTTAGCCGCCTTAGCCCTCCCGGCCTTGGAGCCCGCTGCTGACAAAGAGGGCTTCGCCCACTCTCTCCGAAGGAACCGTCTCATGCGCTCTCCTCCAAAAAGCGAGCACACGCATACCTACTTATAAAGTTATGTACATCTCTCTGTCTATGTTAGTAGGCTCTTAGCTTTGATGGGTCCTGGTCTTAGCTAGAAGGTCTGAGAGTCGCACGACATCACAGGGCCGGGCGTTTCTCTAGTGACTTGTCAGTGTCTCACCCTCCTCTGACTCGAGGGTGCTGCTCCAGGTCCATCCACTGGCGGAAATCGTAGAATGCCAGGCTCTCCCGCATTGATAGGATGCCGCGCAGAGGATGGCAAAAGTAGCCCGCTGTGTACAAATCTAGAATTTGTTGACTGCTCTGCTCGTTGACTGGCGATTCGGGCAAGATTCCTCGGCAGAGTGCATGGACAGGATTCGCAACCCTGCTGGCATGCGACCTTCTGAAGGACCTGGTGATAGCAAAGCCAGCGACGGCAGTCGAGAGGCTTGCGGCGTCCGGATGAATCAACACCGCATTCTCAAACTCCACATGAGAAAGTCGGTAGGCTTCCTTGGGTTACCCGATTAGTGTCAGAACCCGGGTCGCCCCAGGCAACAGTCTACCCTCCTAAGCCGTCCGAGGCTCCGGGCGTGCTCGCGCACCCCATCTTCGTCGCGTGCGCTCGATGAAAGACTGCAAGGAACAGCCGATTAGATGGTGATCCGTCTCCTGAGGTTCGTCTAAGCTACCAGAAAGCCGCAAATGCCTCTTTAAGCAGAAAGCCTCCCGTTGAAAGTGTAGCCAAGGCTCCACTGGAAGAGCGAAGTCTTTCCCTCTCCACTGTTCTTGATATTCCTGGAGGCGCTGACACAACTGACCACCTTCCAGACCTGGAGATTACGGTTTAGAAGTCTCCTCACTGACAGTAGAGTCAGTAGAGAGTTGGTCGACACCGACATCAGCAAGCTCAACTCAGACTCAACCCCGACAAGCCCATCAACCAGAGCCAGTGACATAAGGTGGTGGGAAGAGCGGATTGATCTCCACATGCAGCAGCAGGGGCTCAAAGATCTCAAGCAAGGCTTCAAGAAACTCACAGTCTGCCTCGGTCACACGAGGCAATGGGATAGCGGATAGTAACGGTCGCCCAAACACCAAACCCTACAGAGACATCCGCTCCGCCTGGTCCACATCCACTTTCAGAAGGTCCGGCCGACCTCCGTCTCGACCACATGAAAAGGGCAGGACGGGCAGGAGGGGCAAGCGTAAAAAGGTTGAAGCTAGGGTCCCTCATGTGTGCGTGTACATACAGCATGTAGGTACGTACCTGCCTGCCAATCCACCCACACACCCACCGATTAGCTACGTGCGTACTTGCTCGCCTGCGTACGTACATACATACATACATACATACATACATACATACATACTCTGTTTGTGTGTGCGGGTGTGGGTGGCTGCACCTGCTATTTGTATGAGGACAATAACTCACAAGGCATAGGGTTGGGGTCGAGATAAACGTTTCTTGCAGGAAGTGTCGAAAAGGGAACCATTGACTCATTTCCCTCGACCCCAAAACTCTAAAGTCTCTTCGATTCTGCTGCCCAGCTTCGAGGTGCGTTTACGTCGAGCCATGTCTTCCCTGACATGTTGGCGAAGAGGCTCTGCACGGCTGAAGCCACCAGGGGTCCTGTGTACAGAAGCTGGCGAAGCAGCATGCCAAGTTGCTGTCTTTCATGCCGAAGAACAAAAATGAAAGATCAAGTAAAGCAGCGACACTTCAAACCCGTCCTACGTCAGATGGTGTCACACTCGTGGAAAGCACTCGAACTTGATCTCCAAGGGATACCCGTGCCTGTTCCGCAAGAGCCTTGTCCGCCTCGATGAAGATGCCGCGCCAACCATGGTTCAGAACAAGACAGTTGGCAGGATCGTACTCGTCGCCTGGACTGTAACAGATAAAGATATGTCAGCTATGCTATATCTGCAAACAAACATAGAGATAGAATCGTCGGTAGTTAAGCTTGCACAACCCAGCGTGGGCTCGAGGTGTGCCTCCGGCGCAGCTTCCATCACCAGACCCCAAGTTCAGAACCTTGCGAAGTTGCATGGAAATCACATTAGCTTGTTAGCTTGCGCTAGCGGTCGTGCAGATGTCGCCAGGGTCACATGTGCCGAGGATCGGACCCAGTTGGAGGGGCGACCTCCTGCTGTCGCCCAACGGAAGAGGAGATCGATCGAGCTGGGCCAAGGACTGTAATAGCGAGTACCATCCACCTTCGTGCGGAACCAGCGCGCTTCCGGTGGGGGTATGAGTCTCGGACTCCTGTCGTGCTGACAGGTGCCCACAGGCGACAAGCTTGCTGAGTACAGCAGCTGGAACGGCATCTGCAGAATCTCGGCTGGGTAGTGCTGTGCGAACTGGTCCAGATGTTCCAGTAAGCCTAGTCCACGGCTGGTCAGGTGCTGCAGAAGTTCCTCGCTGTGGCTTGCCTGTCCTTTGAAGGATCTGACCGTCCTGAGAAAGCTTGCAACTCACAACTGGCCAGGCGAGGAACTAAGTATGGAACATTATGGAACCCCTCGTACCCTAGGCCGACACCCCGGCAAACTGCTCCAAGACTCTGTCGGTCTTGCTCAAGCAGCTGCAGAAGCTCTCGGATGATCTTCGAATCATCTAGTCGTGCCTTTCTGTCGTTCTGCCTGGGCGACAGGTGAGGCGAACATCACAGAACCAGGCTGCAAGTGTCGCCCAGAGCTTCAAAGGACGATTTGGGCACCCACGAGTTCACCAATGCATCCAACAGGCGGAGACAAGCCGAGGGATGAGGGCAAGGCTGCCTCTGCCAGCATCTTCAGACCATCTTGCAAGCCCAGGACTGCTTTCAACCGATCTCTGCCATGCCGCACTGGCCCCTCCAAAAGGAAAACAAGAAAGAAGGCATATCTCACTCGTCTACAACAGTCTACTGTAGCACACCTGCCGGGCAGCTCTGGCCTTGTTTACGAGCGATGCACAGAGGCCAGGCAGAAGCTTCGCAGACAGCTGGTGTGCCAGCAGTGTCCGACACAGGCTCTGCACGCCGCGTCTCCATGATTGCGCTCGGCCCTCAGGGTCTACGCTTTGCACAAGTGCGCTGCATGACTGCATGCATGCCCACCCTCGACCAGCATCTCTGGTAGTTCACAAGGCAGGCCAACTGGCGCAAGGCTTCGAGCTGCTCACCAGTGCGTCGCAGGATGTCGCTGCTCGCGGCTTGCCCGTCTCTTTCGAAGCCTGACGGCCCGACAATGTCGTTCGACCATGCTTGCAAGTTTGCCTGTCGTGATGCGGAGATGCGGCAAATGCTTCCAAGAAGCGGAATACAGACCTCAGGTTCGTCGGCGACCGTGAAGCGATTGCTCGAAGTCAAACTGCGACATACTGCCAGTTTCTACTTCAGAATTATTTGCCCAATCTGCATACTCTGTATACAGACAAGCGTCTGGTACAGGCGAAGAGTTACCATCTGGCCAAATGGGAATAAATGATGTTGGAAGGCGTCCTGAATACACTCACGATTCAGAACAACTGCGGGCCTTGCAAACGTCCAACAGGAGCGCCCTTGAACCAGGCCCTACAGCTTGTTTCAAGATCCTCCGATCCGAAGCGTCTGAAGCAACTCTATACCTGAGGCCCGAAAGCATGCGGTACTGTCCAGGAGCGCTAAGCTTTCGGAAATGGCGCCCGAATTCGCAGGATGGGACACGCTTGCCCGGCGCTTCAAATCAGCAATTAGCCAGTTTATTTGCCGTCGGCTACAACAGTAAACTCCCGGTTGGCAGCAGAGCGACGCAGGCTTGCAACAGCACAAACGCAAAATGAGACATGCTCGGCCAAGAAGCCATGACACCGCCCATGCGAAGCGAAGCACAGTCCGCGTCTGCCCATGCTGGTGGGCAGAGCGTGCTGCGCCACATGGGCTGTTTGTGGTGGTTGGGAAGTCGGGGAGGTTGACATGAAGGATCGCTATCTAAACTTTGGGCCAAAACCATGGCCCGGAAGCTGCAGAACGAATATCGCGGGTGCAAAAGGAACACTCTAAGAGGGCCGCAGAAGCTCTGGAGATTGCACATATCCTTAGCTTCCATCCGTTTCTATCCACTCGACGTCCTAGGTACAATGAGCATCGCCTCCAAACAAACTACTCTTGCTCGCAACAGCTTTGAGGCAAGCAGCGCTTGGGCCGCGTTTTATCAGAAGCGTCCAGGCGCCAAGCTAGAGCATGCTCTAGCTCTGCTTTCCTGACTGAGCGACAAGCAGAACCCCGCCGAACCGCACAGACCGAAACTCGAGCTGACCCACCAAGATAGTTCAAGTCGCGCGAGCCAAAGATCGGCAATGCTGTACAGCGACGGCCAGGCGGCAGGCTGCTTCAACGACAATGGGTTGGGTTCCTGACAGGCAGAGAAGCCGAGAAGCCTGATTCCATCTGTGGTGTGGGAGCCTCTCGCTTCCTGCTCAGGGTGCGCTTCCTCATCTCCTCACCAAACGAGGTCGTTCGAAGCTTTCTTGGGGCTCACGACGCATGTCACATGGCATCACCACCACCACGCCCCTCCTTCACCGCCTGGGTCAGAGCCAGGCCCAGAGGCTGCGCATTGGTCAGCGCTGGATACTTCGGCGGCTCCTGTGCAAGCACTGCAATTTTTCATCGAAACATCTCAGAAGTGACACTCACAAGCTAAAGCGACTGAGGCGTGCGGCGTCTTTGCGAGCTTCCAGCTGGCCCAATTTCTCCTTGACAAGGAGAAGCTCTGCCTGCGCCGAACGACAAGTTCTCATGGATGGCAGACTGCAACTGCCGCGACAGCTAAGCACGGGCTTCAGTTACCAAAAAGCCGCGAAAGTTGCTGAAGAGCTACCTTTGCAAGACTGCCAGGCAAGAGCCACGTCTTTGTTGTCGTGCCCCAGTGCCTTGCGATGTTCGATCATCTGCATGACGGCCTTAGCCACATGTCGTCGCCATATGCCAGCATGAACATGACAAAGAAACACAATGAGGCCACGACATCTAGCCGTGCGGAAGATCCTTGTCGCATAGCCTCTGCGACAAGAGTCTCCAATTCCCCCATACTTACACACACACACACCCGCGCGCGCGCGCGCACGCACGCTTTGATGTGCTGGTCCGGTGTTCTAGCTGCAGTATGTTTCAGTCGTCGAAATAGGCAGATTCACCACTAGTCGCAGACGCTTGGCCTGTCGACGATGTACAGTTGACGTTTGTGAGAGGGTCTTCACATTTTCACCAGGCTCCGTGGGTAAACTGCTTGCCATTAAAATCCAGATGATAATATTCATGGGGATTTCGTGCCAGCATAAGCCAGGTACCAGAAGATGATGCATAGGATGGGGCTCGGGTTAGACTAGACACAGGGGATGGTGCCACATGAGGTGCCCTCGCGGACTTGAAGCGCCGGACCACATCACTCTATGGGTTTAGGGCATGTCGGGCTTCCGCGACATCTACTCCCCGAGCCTTCAACCGATTCCGCATCAGCTTCAGTTTTGACTCCAACTCTTGCTGTGCCGCGCATTGCTTCTCCAGCTCCTGGCTCATCTATTCAGCAAGCTCTCACAGATGCGCCTTAGCGAACATCCTGTCTTCAGGTGTTGTCAAGACCTCTTCATCACCAACCGTGCTCACACTTTTTTGACTGTGACTAGGTGGCGCTTAACCTGCAGATGATGATGAAGTATAGCATGACAACCTGATGCTGCACATGCACATCATGCGGCATTATGGCCCAGCATAAGCTGCTTAATGTCCAAACTCTCCGCCGACCAGCCAATGCCTCACGCCTTACGAATACCCTGAACGTCCCCTCACGCTACATTTCATCCCTCATCGACGCCCCGGACATCCTGCACTTCCTTCTCTGCGGCCAACCATGCGAGATGGGTGCTGCAGGCGCGGAACCTCTCGGGCACCTGATGATCACAGACATTGAGACGTCCGCGCGCAATGCGTGAAGTTCGGGCTAGCCGTGCTTCTCTTTTGTCTGCCTTCCCTTTGGGCGGCAGCTTGACCATCCAGCAAAGACGGATCGCTCGGCACTTCCTGATTGTTTCCTTCTGGCTCCTTCTTCCTAGGTCCTGGGCTCACAGCATGCTCTAGGGTAGTTTCGGGACCTTGGATTGGCACTCTGTCGAGACCTGCCGAATCTTGACTATAAACTAAAGAAGTGTCCGAAAAGCAGAAGTATCGAGTCAGCATTTGGTGAAACGTGCAGCGACTGCACCTTGAGCCAGGCGGCAAAGTCCAGCTCCAATGCTTGAAAGGCAAAAGGTTTGCCAAAATAACTGCTGTGCAGTAGCTCGGTCCCTTTTCTCGTCGCCGGAACAGATGTGCAATCCTGCACAAGCGGGAACGTGCCCACCAAACCGACGACCGCCCCACGCGACAACCGATCCGTCGTACTTGATGGCCACAAAAGCATTACATGTAGAGTGCACGTCATGAACATCGGTCTCCAGGAGCTCATCGGCAGAGCAATAGTTGCCTCCCTCATCCTTCACACCCCATGTAACCACAGCACCGGAAACGGTGACTGCAGCGAAGGCGTTGTCTGAAGCACAGACTTTTCTCACTTCTCGGAGCTGCTGAGCAACTCCACTGCTGTCTCCTCCCCGGTTACGGTGCCCCCAGGTCACAACGGTACCATCGGATTTAAGCCCTGCGAAGGCTAAGCGCGTTGCGACAACTTGCTCGACACCATCCAGGCGCTGTCCGGTGGAACATAAATCCAAGTCGAGATAGTGTCCTCCCCAAGGCACCACCACACCACCACGCTTCACGGCAGCAAAAGCCACTTCGTTGCTGTATATCTTGACGATGTCGTCCTGGAGATGCTCGTGCACCCCTGAAGAGTCCCCACCGCAGGCAGGATCCCCCCAACAAATGACGGATCCTCCAGCCATTAGGGCTGCAAATGCGTTTGAAGTCGAAGCAATGTGCCGCACTTGCATGTTGCCAAACTTACATCTAACGCTGTCAAAGCCCTGGCGGGCAACAGCAGCTCCCCAACAAATCACAGAACCATCATGCTTGATGGCGGCGAACGCGCACTTACACCCAAATACTGCCAGCACGCCGCCGGCTAAGTCTGCAGAGACTTCGTGCGGATGTCCGCCGGCGGCAGGATCACCGCAGGCGTGCACGCCGGAATTCCTGGTAAGAGCCGCAAATGCAGCATCTGTGGCAGAAATGCTTTGTACAGCTCCTGTGCACGGAGGAGGCCCACCACCAGATTGCGCGTTTCCCCATGTCACCACCGAGCCATCTTCCTCAGTTTTGAGGAGCCCTTCTCTCCGCTGCATATCAAGTCTTATCCCTGCAACAGCTTCGGCCTGTCCTTCAAGGCTGCAAAGGCCGAGCGGGTGGAGAAGATAGTGCAGACCCCAGTCGAAAGTTGTAGCCTCCGCTCCCGCTCCGTTTACATTTCACAAAGTGCAGCTGCCGTGTCTGCTTCATCATGCTTCACTGAGAAACAGCACTACAGCCATGGTCTTAGGTGTTTAGCAGCTTTGCATCTCTGGACCGTGGAAGCCCTTAGGAATGGCTTCTGCTGCTGCCTGACGGAGCTGCTGTCACCTCCAGCCGTCGCCAAGCCCCAAGTCACCACAGACCCATCATCCTTGACCGCAGCAAAGGCAAACGGATTGGCATAGACACCTCCCGGCAGCATTCAGTAAACAATTTGCAAGCCTGATTTGACAGCTTCCGGGTACGAGCGGCGCAGAACATTGCTCATCAGCTGATCTTGCACGTGGCCGGCATTGCCCCCAAGATCAGCATCACCCCATGACACCACTGCCCCCGAAGATGTTATGATTGCGAACGCACACTGCGCGGACGTAACACCTCATATGCAAGCCAGTGCAGGTCAGCGCATATAGGCTCATAGATAAGACCTGATAAGACCATCGTCCATGCAGGCGGCCGACTCTGATGCCAAGGTGCTCTGCACAGCATGTGCGATGGCCTTGGGTGGCTTGGCAAGTTTAGTCCGGCTGCCGCCGCTGGCAAGACTCAGCGAAGCCGAGCACATTATGCTGTCAAAGATGCCGTCAGCACCAGGTGTTTATCTGCTGGCGCAGTGATCTCAGCAATGCAGCTGGAAGGGGTGACCAAGCGCCCGGTAGGTGCAAGTAGTGTGAGACAGCCTGCGGATGAGCTTGTCTAACATGTGGCAGCTTGAGCTAGCGCTACGATGCGCTTTGCCTCGGTCTGAAGGAAGGCCATGGAAAACACTTCTGAGACATGCCCCACGATCGAGCATCCTTCGTCAGCACGGAGGCAGCTTCAGAAGTGAGGCCGGAAACGAAACAAAGCTATGAGTTACAAGTGCACTGCCAACACCCCTCCAAATTTTCTGACAGCCTTCGACAGATCAAGAGACATTCTCAGCAACGTGGCTCCACTCATCCACACGAGAGAAACAGTAATTTGCATCTCGTCTGTCTGGCAAGTCATCTGGCAGTCTGTTGCAGAGCTGCAGCCGCCGTGTTCTCTGCAGTTGCCTGCAGAAGCTACTTCCCTCATATCTTCGCCTGATTGCCAGACTAACGTTTGGGGACGGACTGCTTGAGCGGCGAATCGCCAAATGCCAAATCACAGGAAACGGTGCATCGACAAATGATTGAACACGCACATGCCGGTCCATCCGGCCTGCTAAGAGTAGGAGGTAGCAGAAGGACGGAAAATGCCCATACCGGCTGGACCTTTTTGCACGAAGCCGGCTCAGTCGTCTATCGCCACTCAGAAGCCCCAGTCAAACGGTCCTGAGTTTAAAGCACAGGATCGCTCAAAACGGCAGCTGGCCCCTTCATGCGAGTACCTGCCGCATGAGATCTGCCGGCACTGCGGGTACTTTCCTGGGCGTCTTGCTGCCACCAGCTTCGTCAACAAAGGCATAATTGAAGTTGAGTCCTGCACCAATGCAATTTCTCGCGTTCTGGTTTATGCTTTTTCTGCCACTCGCAACTGGGCATCACCAGGCCTAGACTTCGGGCGAACAAAAACTTCGGCCAAAAAAAAACTTCAAAGAAAACCTCAGTAACTCCAGTCAGTCTCTAAAGACTCTAAGAGAGCTAAAAGCTCAAGCTTGGCAGCATTCTTGGATCGTTTGTCACGACACAGTGTGGGGCACTTTGCGCACAAGCTCTCACGAAATTCGGGCACCTGTTCGCGGCTTTGGCGATCGATTCTCACCACTTCCATGTAAAGTGCTGGCATAATAAACAACCACCTGGCTGGACGGGGTGCAGAACATCCAGTAGGCAGGTGTGAGTGTGCGGAAGTCATGTCACAAAACCGGCCGTGGACACCGAGCCCGCTGGCATCGCGGCGGCACCAGCCTCCTGTGCCTCTGGATGTTCACCCGACCAGTGACCCTGAGGATACTTTCCAGAATGGCTTCCGGGCACCTCGTCTGCATGGTGGAGCACGATGGGAGCTAGCCGTTAGACAGAAACAACCTGGGCACTCCGATTCATCCATAGCTAGGACAGTGCACGAATCTCGTGGCTCCGTTGTCCATCGTGAAGTCATCCACGGCCCATATGGTGTTTAGGCCCCATTGCAGCGGTCGTTCCAGCGGGACCTTCGAAGTGTCCACGACATCGCGGTGCATGTCACCTGTTGCAGGCGGGTGTTTGCTCACAGCCAAGAGACATGCCAGGGCCAACTGGCCTTCCGGGGTGCCGGGTGCCAGGATCAAGAGCCGAACCTTCCAGGAAGCAAAGCTGCAAAGAGTCACTGAAAATCTTACGCAACACGGGCCTCCCAGGCGATGGAGTGGTGCGAGCCCTCTCCATGCGCCCTTCGGGCCAGCTCAATGGCTTCCTGTAGCACCGCATCTTGGGCAAGGCTCTGTAAAGCCGGCTCCTCCAAGGCACTGCAGAGAAAACGCGGAAAATGCAACCTAAGCAAACTGGAAGTACTCGCCACAACTCCAACTTTGATCTACTTGCTCAACCCCCAGATCCTTCAAGCGTAGGCCTATCCGGTTGTCTGGCAGCTGGCACGATTTCAGAGACTGGTTCTGTGGCATGCCGCGTTATTGGACTAAAGAGGCTTTAGCCAAAGGGTCACCGACCGGAATAAGCTTCCTAAACAAACTCCAGTCATTCGCAACAAAGAAGATCGGTCAGGTGGAGCATGGATGTTTGATAAATGTGCACTCCTTCTCGGCATCCAATGGCCACTTCAGCAGCTGCGTACTGCCTCCGAAACGCACGTTGCGTCCTTCGGACATGCGGCCCGTCTCGAGCTCCTCGCAAAAGCCGAACTGCCGAACTTCTTTCCGCAACGCTACACTCTACGATCATTTGTTGTCCGTGCCCACTACCTCTGCGGGTTTTGCTGCTTTGCATGTCAGCCTCCACCCTCTTCACTGCTCGGACTACTCCCAGCGCAAAACCTCCCGAATTTGCCGGAGCCTAGGACTCTCAGACTTTCGGTTGGCGATTGTTCCGTTTGCACGATCCATCTTGAGCCAATTGCTCCATCGCGTGCCCGGATCGTCAACGACCCTAGTAAGGGCATTTTGGCTCTCTCAAGCTGTAGCATCCCGTCACAACTTGTCCTGCAAGGCTGCTGCCACTTTCTCCGGCGAGGTCCACTGATCCAAGACAACAATGCCATCACGTATCCTGGTGGTCAAAGTCATCCGTGGATGGAGAGTCAGAGTATGTCTCAAATTTTCTGTACGAAACGGTACTATCAGGAGAATCGGGGTTACTATACGGATGGAGCACTCTCAGTGCAGGCAAGCCGCAGGACATGTGCTATCTCGGCGGAGGTGCTCGACGGCGGAAGGCGAGCCAGCGGAGCAACTAAAGCCATGTCTCCCAGCAGTACAAATGGTGCCAGAGACAGAACAAATCGCCTCGCAGAGGAGATAGGAAAATCTTAAAGATTTGAAGGTGAAGCACAGTCGCAAAAGAAGCGCTTGCAGCTAAGCTTCATGAGGTGCCTGCCATAACCTTGTCTTGCCGTTCCCGGCATACTCCTGTGCCCGGAAGCTACTCCAGGCGATGCAGAGCGTGCGGACATGTCCCTGCCTTCTCAGAGCATCGGCTTCGCAGTGCTTCTGGGCTATCAGTGCATCTGCTTGACACCGCCACTAGATCACTAGCTGTCATCGGTAAAGTATCGACGTGGCATAAACATGTGCACAGGTAAAACATCCCGCGCTGCATCGTGCAATATTGCCCGTGATCATTGCTCGTGCGTTCAGGTTCTTCTCTGGAGCCATGGCAGAAAGAGAATCGGAGTATTACAAAGAACACGACCCATCCGTGCATCTTCAGCTCACACTCCGATTCACTTGAACAGGAACTTGGGATCTCTGAGCGGCCGAAACTCTGGCAAATTGCGAGTTCGTTTGATGGCCTGCTGTCCGGTCTGCTCGGTGAAGACCCTGAACTGAACAGCAAGCGGGCTCGGAGCAAACGATCCTTTTCGAAGGGCCACCCAGCTTCTGCCTTCATCCTTCTCGCTCTTATTCGGAAAGCTCGCTTGCGTGCCTGTGCACCTTCCCAAACTGTCTGCAGGCCCCAAACCACTTCAGCATCTCACTCTCGGTCACGTCATGGTCGCCTTCGACCAGTCCCCAACCTCAAGGCTTAAGCCGCACAGAAAGACATTCAATATTCAAGAGACATGGACAGCCTATGACAGCCTGCGAAGCGCGCACACCTTGCATGATTCCTCAGCCCTGCACGCTCTATTTGGAAGTTCTCTTCCAGCTGTGCCCAGCGCATAGCGTCCTCAGCAGAGGTGCTGCGATCCAGCAGCGCGCTGGCGACGATGAGCGACTTGGCCTAAACAGCAAAGCAACAGGTCGAGAAACCCTAGCGAAGCCTATGCTCCGACAGCACTGGACTGAATACATGCCCAGCCACGGTCTGCGTCGCAATTTCCAAAGCACATAACTCCCAGGCATCACGAGTCAAGAGCTGCTCAGCTACCCGAAGCATGGTTTCCTGAGCCATCAAGACATCGCCACACAAGAATCTGCTCCCAAAACTTGTTCGCATCTGTGCAATCGCCTGGGTATCCCACAATGCGCATCGCCCATCTCATAGTGTTAGTAAGACAGCACCAACAAAACAACATTCAAGATACCCTAACACCTTAAACCCGGAAACTAAGCTACACAGAGTCCGCAGTCCTCGGGGTGACCTGGCGAGCCAAGTCCCGTCGCCACGCCAAGCTTCACAGCGTACCTGCAAAACTGGTCTGATACTATTTCGCAATGCATTATATTGACACACACACACACTACACACTCCCGCTCTACATATGTATATATATATGTATATATACACACAGATATATATATATGCTACACCCTCCCTGATGTACCTGCCTACTTGGTGTGTTTATACCACCGGTGTGTGTCCGCAGAACTTCATGTGCAAGGGCGCTGGGCTGAGCCACTAAATACGTTTTCGTGTACTTTTCGCTTCACCCGTGTTTCAATCTAGTCACTATCTGTTCCCTAAAGTCTCATCGACTCAACGTCAAGCAGCAATTGCGATGCGTGTCTTCTTGTTTCTCTTAGAGCATGCATCCAGTTGTGGGGCGTTTCATACTCTTCTGCCTCATCCCGACATGTTGCTCAAGCCGCACAAAGAGCAGTACGCACACAGTACTCACGAACATTCGCAACTCGTAAATAAATGTTAGAATAGCTAATCGGTGCGGCAAGACAAGAAGGAACGGCGTAGCGGTAGAGCGCTATGCGTGCGTAGATAGTGAGTACCGCTTATTTCATTGAGAAGGAGATAGCAAAAGAAAACGCAAATATGCACCAAGTATTCACAAGCGGCGAAGTCATGCAATGCCCTTGCCACAACTTGAAGGGTTCGCCAATGCTCGAGTCGTTTACCAGGTAGTGAAACATTCAGAGGAAATAATGGGTAGCAAAACCATTACACAGTATCTTAATTAATATCATCTAGATCTGAAGCATATACTACTGGAACATTGGTTAAGTTGTATGTGAACATCACATGTTCGACGAGTCTCGAATGAATTCTTGCAATTTCCCTTCTTGCTTAATGTTACTTACGTATATGTCGAGAGCTCGGCACTGCACATTAAGTAAGTTTTCGGCGAGTACTTACATGGGCTTTAACTATTGCGATAATCTGTAATCGTCAGACACAGCATGAAGATGATGCAAATTTTAAGCGCGAAACGAAAATCTTCTTTTGTTGGACTTCAACGGAAAGATGCGCCGAGCATGACCCAAACAATAAACAATTAGTACACAGAATAGAGGAATGGAGGGTTTAATGCTGAACAAGTAATCTTGAAGTAGCAACTAAAGAGTATCTACGCAGTGGTTCTGTGCGGATGATACGCAAGATTACAATTACGTGCTAATTAGATGCTGCTTAAATATCTGACATGTTTGACTACATGCTGACTTCCTGTGCATCACAACTTTTTGTTTGCGTTTACTTGTGCCGGGCTGCAGTTTAGCACTAACAACACGCTAGTATAGCAAAGAACTCAGCTATATACTATGGAACTATTGCTTAAGGTTTATGTGCACCCATTTTAAACTTTCTCCTTTTGTTGAAGTAGTAGTTAGGCACCATATTGAACATCAAACAAGCATCAAACCGATATTTGATATTTGTGTATTGGGTACCTCATCAGAATTGTCTGGCACGTGTCCCAAAATTATTTCAAGATGGAATCCGCAACGTCGTGAGGCAGATTCTTGCAGATTGTTACGTCCAAAAGAAGTCATAGCAGTGATGAACTTGCACAGGCATAGTGATGATTTCAACTCCAGGTGAGCGATAAAAGGTCGTACGCAATCAAGGCTCGCAAAATTTACTATCTAGTGGCAGTGATACATGTCTGACGAAAGTGAAACTGCTTGCTGTGTTGTAGTGGTGCTTACAGTGCTTCCAGCTCGACGTATGTGCGTGTGAATGCGTTTACGTACATGTTGTGTGTCATGTGTGCGGCTGTTGCTGATATGTCCAATCATTTCCGCTCAAGCGCAAGGCTACGGCAAGTTTGCGCTGTAGTGGTATTTCCAATGTGTTTGGCTCCGTGCGTGTCAGTTTTGTTGTTGTTTCCTATGTATTGGGCAGCGTGTGTGCTGTTGTTATTTGTGTTTTCCAATGTTGTCAGGTCCTTGTTCCAATGTGTTCGGCTCCATGTGTGCCACTTGTATTGTTTTTTCCAATGTTTTGGACTCAGTCTTGTGTAGTTTTAGTGGTTTTCCCAATGTTTCCGTGAGTCAGAAGCAGCAAACATTGGAAAAACCAATAACAACCTTAAAAACCATGGCAACCATGGTTTTCAAGCTATATCGTCCGGATGGTGTCACGCCTGCAGATAGTTTAAAGGTCATGGTTTTTTTTATGGGTTTTTCTAATCGTGTTTTTCCAATGCTGTTGGCTCATTCTATTGCTTTTGTTTCCGATGTTTTGGGCTCCATGTGTGCCACGTGTATTGGTTTTCCAATGTTTTGGGCTCCGTTTATGTTGACTTGTACTGTTCGAGAAAGCACATGTGACAAGCCGGACTGCAGGCGCAACTCGCCTACCTCGTTCTGTCATACATCCGAGGGCCCCTTAGGGCCATCAGCCGCCCTGGCCAATGTGGTGAGGGCAGGAAAAGCAGGAAAAGGGTACATGGGGGGGGGGGCACTATCTATCTATCTATCTATCTATCTGTCTATATATATATATTAATTACCCCACCCCTCATGTACCCATGCATATATATATACATACATACATACATACATACATACATACATACATACAATGTATCTATCTATCTATCTATAGTACGCCACCCCCTCATGTACCCACGCATATACAGATATAGTTATAGATGCAAGTATAGATTTAGATATAGATATAGATATAGAAACCAGCAAAAACAAGCACAGCTGTGCGGCAGCTTGCGGCCAAAAGGCTCTTGTTGGAACCATTCCCGCAGTGGACGCCATTCCTGCTCCTGTCGCTCTGCCAGGAACTCCTCGTCGACTTGGAAGCATACCTCACTTCAAAGCTCAGGGTTACCTAGCCATAAGCAAGGTCATGAGACTTGCGTTGCAAGCAGCTACTCATAATAAATATTTGGTGGTAGTCTCTCCTAACTGTAGCCCTGCTTGCTATGTCCCATGCTGCTTCAAATGGCGCGGAGTTCTGAGACGGCCTTGCCTACTGCGCTCTAGCGCGTACTGTCGTGGCAAGATGCGGTGTCCATCTCTAGAAAAGGCATCATCCGGTCAATGCAACCCTCTGGGTCTTTCTGGGTGATGTCCAGCGCTGTGCACCCTGGCAGGGTACTTCCATGTACCAGCTACTAGTCCTATAGTAACACTTTGAACCACGTAGCACAGTGAAGATCCGGCCTAGGGTCGTGAAGGGCATCTCCAGGGGTTCAAGGTTCTCACCTTGTGCCCTCCATTCTCGAGCCACGCGGTGTGCGACACCGACCCCAGGCAAGTCCAGGGTAGTGCCTTTTGGCGTCTTGACTACCTATACAGGGCTGAGCAATGGTGGTAGACTTAGACGCTGAGCAAGGCCCGAGCCTTGCCGTCCAGAAGCACGCGAAAGAGACCACCGACTTCCTCGATGGACACCTCCTCATAGAAGCGCTTTATCTGTTTCGGCCTCGTTGCAGTCACCAAGCCTCGCCAGGTGCGGTGAGAAATCAACTGCTTTGTGCTAGCAGCCACGCCTATTCGTCTTTGCAGGCGCAAGAGCAGCTGCCGTCATGGCCAAAAAATCACAATGCAGATCTGTCCGCTACAAAGGGGGGTCAACGGTAGTCCATGCAAGTTTCCATGGGTGCTCAGGCTCACCGCTCGACTGCAGCTTCTAGCGAAAAACAACACCCGCGCTGACAGGACGGTCTCTTGCAAAGGCTGCTACGTGATCCCCCACACGTAGGGCCTCGTCCTGCAGACCGACCCACGGCTGAAGCGAGTCGCAGCATGGCGAACGGCGTTGGAAAACTGAATCTGATCAAGACGACATGTCACGATGGGCCTGAGGGATGTGTAGACTTTGCGGGCAATGCAGTAGAAGCTGGTTGCTTTTGCTTTCTGATTGTGCTCAAGTGGTGGTACTTCCTTTTGCGGCGTGTTTCGTGTCCCTAATCAACTTGTCAACTCTCCCAAACAGCGCAACAAATGGATGCAAAACACTTCTTGCATGCAGCAGAAACGGAAAGATTCACATGACCCTGAATAGGTAAGCACCTGGTGTATCACATGCTCTCGGAACTGCCAGTCGCCGTTTTGATGCGCTGTGTCACACCAGCAGGTCGTCATCCGGCGAAGCATAGTTCCGACCTGTCTCGAGGACGAAGACCACCATTCAAGCTCGAGACTCTCGACATGCCTGCATCCAGCCGGTTCTTCGTCCGCACGCCCAAGGCCTTCCTCCGAGCAATCCGCCGAGAGCCTGGGAGGCCTAGGATGGGAGCACTTCATGAAATGACTAGACAGGTTCTCACTTTTCCCTGTCGCAGTGCCAGCGTCAAGACATTTAGCAGGCCACGGTCTTGGTCCGTGTAGCGCCCTCCAAATGTAGCAGCCTTCTCAGGGGACAGGACAGTGCTGCTCCGTGTTTCTGTGCAGAAGTTCCAGTTCATGCGCTCGATTTGCTGACCCGAAGGGATAGCTGAATCCTGCCTGTATTCGGTCGCCGCCTCTTAGTCAACGTACGTCATGTTTATGCCACCGCAGCAAGTGAATGAGACGGCGAAGGCAAACAAATCTAAGCTCCAGGCCCCCAGCCCGCTCCAGCTGTCGGGTAGGCACCGGACCGAGCCTTTCTGCCGACAAGCCATGGAAAAGTCGCCACATGCTGCTTGCAACTGTTGCTGTTGAAGGCTTCAGTCTCCAATGCTTGCAACGAAAGCCGAGAGAGCGGCGCAGCCTCCCCTTCTTTGGCAAACTGGGACCAGCCTGAGACAGGAGGCTCGTTGGGCATCCCGTCTGGGGCTCAGCTGAAGTAGCATAAGCAGCAAGCTGAAGGGGGCCCGATCTTCTTGACCTGCTAGCTTCCAGAGGAGCCAAAATGGCAGGGCAGTTGCGGTCAACAACACCTGTGGCCCTTGCCAGGCTTACCATGGCTTCTTTCTTTGTCTTCCTCTTCTGAACCAGAGTCCTGCTCCTCGTTGTCAGACCTGCGCAGCTGCACATAACCACCACATACACGTACAGCTCTTCCTGCATCTGAGGATGCATCTCGGACTCGCTGGCCAGGAGCCGCTCTCGGATGTCTGACAAGCCGTCGCCCGAGGTGACCCCGTCCTCTCAATAGTTTGCATGCGCTCTCATGGAGCGATCTACCCGCGCGTGCTTCAGATTCAGATCTCTATGCCAGGAACGGATGTGGAGAACTACTCTAACAGGGGGTAGTTGCGCGTCGCCCACGACTCTTGACATATACAGTAATATACAGTAAAGGATTCCCAAAAGCAGGTCAAAGCACATCCGAAAGGGCAAAAGCAACGAAGACAAAATGACCGCATAGGTCGCCACTTGGGGTGTCACTGCCACTCTGCATTCTCAGGGCAGCTGTTCGACAAAGCCAAAGCTTCTTACAGCATCTTCTTCGGCACACGCAGCCAACCAAAATGCCTGATCAAGTGGTTGAAGTGACACAACTCCATTTCCAAGTATGTCTTACTGGTCATGCCTACAACACTCACATGACATGTTGCGCACAACAGCCTGGAGCCACGTCTGGTGGTTCTGCCCGTGGCTTATGGACTTTTGGTGTTTGTTCGTCCTGAGCGATGACCCCCGATCCACCGTCACAGTGTGTTAGACTTGCTGGTTGTGCCATGCATGCGGACTCTGTAGCAAGTCCAGCACTGAAGTGTCTGTTCAAAGGCGCTCTTCCGTTTCGCAAATGTGAACAGTCTTGCATCAAGGACTGGGCCACTCCGATTTGTCACGATGTCTAGTACCCCGAAACTTCCGTCAATCTGCTGGTGTCAAAAAGGAGCAGGCGCGTCCTTCGAACTTGCCGCAGATGCTTCTGCAGCAGCTGTTGCCTTTCGGGCTTTCGCCTCAGAAACCCCACACGTTCCTTCGACGGCTCCCAGAGCGAAACGGTGCACATCACTTAGACGCCCTGCGCGTGGCAGACGTGAAGAGCTCTCTTCCATCACCGGAGATGTCAGATAACCTGCACGCACTCCCAGTACATGTATGATTCCTCAACTGTTCCATCCACGCAATTCCCCAACACAGATGCCAAGTCGGACGATTCCCTGAGGATGAGACCAAGTAACTCACCCTCCTGAGCACACTTCTTGCGAGCTCATGTTGAACCGAAAACGTCGAAGTCGAAACATGGGCGCAGCAGGATTCAGCAGACCCAAAACCCTGAACAAAAAAATCCCTAAACCCGAAACCCCATAGAGCGTTTCTGGAATCACCCTGGCAAGTTCAGGGCAAAGCAAAGAACTGGGTGTCGAGCAGCACCCTGGACGCGATCGGCCTTTCCGAGAATCTCGAGGCCCCCATCCAAGCCTGAGCTCAGCAGGGCCACTACAGGGTTTGAGAGTTTAGGACTTTTTGGATATGGCAGTCTAGGGTCGGAAGTTTTCCTGTTTGATTTTACAGTTCAGGAGGGCTTCGGGTTTGTGAGTTTAGGGTTTAGCAGGGTTGCGGCGCTCACAGATCGGACTTAGGGATTTCGACTCTCACAGCTTGGGCAATCCGGGCGAGGGGTCTGAGTACATTGAGCAACATCACAGCCAACAGCTAACCCACGCCAAGTCAGGGGCTTAGGGGGATTGTGAGGCGACACTGTTGCTTCACGCTTACCATGCAAGGTTGACTGAGTTTCGAACTCACAGGTCCGTCGCCACCTTCCTCATCTGAGGCTGGACCTCATCCGCGCCCAGCTGAAGATTCGCAGACTAAGCGCCCAAGGAGGCGCAAAACTGAAACAGTCACATATACAAATATCCACGGGTACATATTCAAGGATATATACATGTAACTCATAATGAATACTATTCCGAATTATCATATCTAACACATAATGCTTGATATATAAAATGTGGTATAATATAAATAAATATATGTATATATTTATTTATTTATTTATTTAATTATGTTTATATTTATTTCTATATTTATACTTTATACTTAAATGACTTATACTCATCCTTACCTTTATATTTATACTTATATTTATACTTATTTATATCTATATTTATACCACATGACGTATTTAGCATAAAATACCCAATATACAACGTATAATACGTTATATACAAAATAAAACTTGTGTTGTATATCAGACAATGAATCATACACCAGATGTTATACATTGACGGCATTGTATGACTTGTACGGCATATTGAATACATGATACATCAAATGAAATGCATCATTTATCATAGACCATGCATCATACATCCTGAATGTCCTTAATGACATATGGTAAAAATAGGTAACAACGCCTGGTACGTGACCGGCGTTTTGTGGCTTAGCTGAGACAGGAAACGAAAACCTAGGGAAAACGTGTATTATGACTAAAAGTTGTGGTAGGAAAAGCGGAGAATCCCTGTGACAGGTCGATCGTTTTAGCGAAAAAGGTGCTGGCGCTGCAGTAAAAGCCACTTTTGCGAGCACAGCGCTGCGCAAACTTGGTCAACAGCACTTGTTGGCCGCTTTGCTGATGCCTGATGAAGGATCATCATCCATCATGACCCTTCGTCATGCATCATCATCATCACCATCATCAACCATCATCAACCATCATCAGCCATCACCATATAAGATGGTCCGCCATCACGAAAGTACTGTAAATACCGAGTAAAACGGCTCGTGTGGAGAGAATGTTCGGGGTGTTTGTGTACCAATGTCGTCAT